AGAGGTAGGGGTGCCTCCGGCAGACGATCCCGGAGCGCCACTAATTCCCGAACGGATACCGATCTCCTGCCCGAGATCGGACATCGTGTCCGAGATAAGTGAGCGAACTGAAGTCATCTGCTGCTGCAATATGGAGGACAAATCTGTTCACGTTAATGGTGCAGAATCGGATTGTGCAGATGTAGAGGGGATAGGGGAAGAAGGGTGTTTTTCCACCATCTTGGCCCACTTACATCCCCCACACCCTACCCCCGTTAACAGCAGAAGAGGAAGAACTCTCCTTGCCCTTAGAGGATTTGGAGGGTGGGTCCTTGTGTAAAACAAGTCGGCAGACCGACGCTTGATAGCCCTGGGGGAGAAAGCTTGACATTTCTCACACCTATGATCATCGTGTTGCTCTTCCGCAAGACAGCGAAGGCAAACTTCGTGAGTATCTGGGGCCGGCAAGTGTAGAGTGCCGCAAGAAATGCAAGGCCGAAACTGTAACAAACAGAACCAGGTAATGGTATCTGTTGTACAGCAAACATATGTACGCATCTGTAAGTACACAAGCAATAGCAATAGAAAACGCACGGGCGATAAAAATTTGCCAAAAGCTAAAGCAATTTAACCAACTTAACATGTATACATGAACAAGTGGAGAAAATGCAAGCTGCCTGTGTTTACATATATAGCATAATATACAGCAAATACAACGTACATGCTAAATTACCAACTCTGACTTACCTTAAATTCACTGAAAGCGAAATTAATTAGGCAAGCCTAGCTTATGGTAAACATATATACAACCGTCCTAGTTTTGTGAACGCCAAGCACCACACAAGGAACGAATGTAAGCCACCCGATCCGCCATCTTTCCTGCCACATGGCTGGAAATGGGAACCCGACTGGCAAAGTAACAACAATTTATGAATGAAAAGTTCAGCCTATAAATTCCATCTAGCGTCCGTGCAGAAGAAATGGAACCATACATACAGCAGGTGACTCTTTACCACTCATTTCCGTAGGAAGAAGTAGCAAATCTTTGATGAACACACACACACGTCTTTCGTGAAAAGACAGCATGAAAAGTGAGGTGCGAGGTTGACGGCTAGAGTTACCTGCTCTTGCCTGTAGGGGGGCTGAGGGGCCCTGTAGGGGTGGTCTCACAAGACAAAAACGTGTTTTTTGTTTTGTAAATATTTTTATTAAAATATAGTTACAACTGTCATAGTTTTAATGCTTATATGTACCCCAAGGAGGACTTCTTCTGAAAAAGAATGTTTAATTGTTAAGGCAAATAAATGACAAACACAGTTACATACACAGACTAAATGTAACACCAGGCATCAGGCCAAACCAACCTGCTGGCTTCATCTTGGCTGAAGGCACCATAGGATCCACAGCTGTCTTACGGGATCTCTCCTTTTGGTGCTGCTTGGCTTCCTGGATCTTCTGTGTCAGGGAGAAGCCAACGTCTTCACTTTTCTGGTTTTTCTTTTTGCTAAATCTGCCAGTTTTTTGTGGCACTGTTTTCCGTGGTGGGACTCTTTTGGACAACCATGAGGTCTTCACTTGTGGAGAAGCCTGGTAAAAATTAGACTTTGTGATAAGCGGCACCTCTGATTTCTGCTTTACTGCTTCTTGTTTATTTGTCTCGGGTTTATTAGACGCTTTACTGTCATCTGGGCAAACCATGATGCTCTTCCTTTGGTTATGCTTGGACTTTATTCTTTTCATTACAGATTGTGCAGTCTTTGGAGAATTGGTTTCTGCTGATTCTCTCCTCTGTTCGGGTAGTCCTCCCTTTCCACAAGATTCTACAAGTGGAGAGTTTGAGCGGTAAGGTTCATCCACTTGAGTCATTACATCGAAAAGATCAACATCCATGCAAGGAGGAACTTCCTCATCACTAGGCCTGTGCCGATTCTCTAAAGCCTGTCGTGATGCAGGATCAGCCTGGGTGGCAGCAGCAAACACATCCCTCTGTTGGCTTATCCTTCCCATAGATTCAGGCTGAACTTGTGTAGCAGCTCCATATACATCCTCTACACGGTCCTTGTCATGCACCTCCTCCTCTGGGAGTCCTGTGGTATTCAGGCACGACAGGTTTGTCTCGTCTAGATCATCCAGAGCTCTGTACAAAGCATCATCATCATTATCATCATCAGATTCTGTATGAGACTTTGCCCCAGCTTTCCGGGCAGTGGTAGAGTCTGTGTGAATGGATGAGGACATTGACTGTGTTTGTGCACTGTATAACTTTTGAAAATTTAATTTGGTCATGGCAAATAATGATAATTTGGATTTTACATCAGTAGGTTTGGGTGTTGAAGTCTTTGACGGCCCCACAGATGGCAGACGAGGACTATCAACCTGTGTATCAACATCAAATACGTTTTCATGACCAATACTACTTTTCCCCACCTTAGATGAACTAGGAGTTTTGAATACTGAAGGCCTGATTTCTACATTGGTAGATGACATTACAACTGACTTAACTGAAGCAGTCTTTCGCTTTTTCTTTTCTTGGCTGCACACATGTTGATCCTGGCAAAGTTCTGTCTTCCGTCTTACTGAGCTAACCACAGCTTTTGACAAATTGATGGCTTCAGATACGCTTGCATCCATTTGTGTTGCAGCCATGTAGAGGTCTTCATCAGACAGAAATGAATCATCTGTTTTTGGTACAGAAGGTTCCTGCTTCATATCAAATGACACTCTTCTTCCTCTTGACACCCTCTTGGAATGCTGTATTCCAGTACTGCTGCCAGCCTGGATTTCATTTTCCTTATGGATTTCTTTCTTGTCATCTAAATCAGGCACTGACTGTTTCACACTGCTGTCATTCTTTTCACCAAGACAGTCATCAACTTCAGTCAATGCACTGAATACACTGTTATCACTGGTAAGAGGATATTGCTGAATAGCAGACTGCTTGTTGTTTGGTACAACATGTAAACCTGCAGGCTCATCATCCCATTCAAGCATCTCATAACTGTCTTCTGCATCGTCATCTACTTGTGTTTCTGCAAAGTACAGGTCCTCAATCTGTTTTGCCTCCTGTACTTTGCCAACAGACATTGAATGAGAAGGCCTATGCTCAGGACTGAATAGGTCCTCTTTTTCTGAATCTGAGCTGATCTCATAAATGCTTGTTCTCTTCTGGGGCTTTGAAGAAATCTGAAAATCAACTTGTTCACTTGAATCATCAGAAACACTTTCAAAGTCGAATGTTCCTTTTTTTCCAGAGGTGGTCGTCCTTTGAGTCAGTTGTTCATCAGATTCATCAGACTCTCCCAGATGATCAAAGGGGTTCTTCTCTTCCTCAGCTATGTCATCTAGGGATTTGTCATAATTAGCATCGTTAACCAGTGTTACATCATCATCCCCACCAAAGTCAAGATCAAACAGCTCTGTGTCAGAGTGCTCAAACACATCAAACATGCTGTCAGTGTCAGAGATGTGGTCTGAGCGGACATTGGTCTGTGAGAGATCAATAAGGGCCTCGTCATCACTGGAATCATAAACAAATATAACATCTTCCTCCTGTGTGTAACATGGCAGTTTGGAGGGAAACTCAAGGTCCTTCTCCTGTTTAATCTTTACGCCTTCGTTTTTCACCTTAATAGTTTCAAAATCATCTGGTATATCAGTGAACTCTTTCTTTGTGTCCTCTGACCGTTCTTGTTTGAAGGCTGCAGCAGACTTTTTGTGAAATCCTGATCTGAGGATTTCAGAATGCTTTGAAATATCAAAATCAGCACTATTTTTTCTTTTCTCTCCCTCCTGATTACTATCATTCACTGGCTTAAACAAAAGACAATTTTCACTGTTAATGCTTTCAGTGCTACCTCCAGATCTACTTTCAATTTTCTTAAGACAGACTCTATCTCCTTCCTTTGAGTCTGCAAAAGTTGTACTGGTACTCTCAGTCTCCACCATGGAAGGTTTAACACAGGACGTAGCTCTTGGCTTTGAGATCTGCTGAGTCAGAAGTGGAGGATCAATATCTGATATGTTGGAAGCAAATTTCTGAGGCACCATTGCATCAACCAGGGACAGCTCAGGAGGATTCCCATAAGCAGTCTGTGATGGTTCCTGGGTCAGTTCCTCATCATCCTCTTCCATTGGTTGTGTTATGTCCTCATCAAGACCAATCACCATAATATCACTGTCATCACCTCCCTGGGAGTCAAACAATGTGTCTGGGGGCTGGGTTAGTTCATCATCAATCTCATCATGCATTGGTTTGGATCCAGGTACAGTTTTCTCCCCAAGAGTAGATTTTGTTTTGTTTGCGTGTTTAACACTTACTGCAGTCTGAGAACCAGTCTGAGCATCAAAATTCCTATTGTAAGAAACCTGGACATGATACTCTTGTGTGTCATCATCCTGTGTGCTGCTCCTTCTACACTCCATCTGGCCAGCAGCAGACACCACCTTCTTCAGCTTCTCCTTGGCAGTCTGAGAAACAATCAAACTGGAAGAGGCCAGTGTAGGTTTTTTTTGTTTGGTGTTCACCTTGCTCATACTGATATTCCTGTGTCTCCTCATCCGAAGAAGACACAACAGCCTTGGACTTTCTGGGAGCAGTCAGCAGGAGGGGTTGTCGGTATTCTTCTTCCGATTCAGAAGTGTGGCATGATATGTCTTCATCTGAAAAACTTTCACAGGCTCTCTTCATCTTAGGCTTGCTACTACTGACAATTGATGATGTCCTCAATTTGTTAGCTTCTTCACCCTTCTTTCTACCAGTACTACTGATAGTACCAGACATGGGCTTCTGTTTAGGGAGCTCACTATCTGCTGCAGAGGAATCTGTTATAACAAAGGAAGCTTCCTTTTTACTAGACTTTGTCATTGGTCTGGATGGGAAAACTGATGTTGAATTGGACTGCGACATATTTCCAACATCTTTTGGCCTTTCCAGCTTACCTATTTGACAGTCAAAATTATTGTTTTTCTCACACACAACACCACCTGGGGCAGAGGTTGTGGAATTGGCAATATTAATTTTCTTTTGCTTGTTTGCGGGTATTTCATCTGATGAAGATTCGGTATTGGAGGTTTCTAGTATCACAAAGTCTGAAAAACTGTCAGATGAAATGTTTGGTTTCTTTTTTGCTGAGAGAGAGCTTGTTAGGTCTTGGTTTCAAGGCAGTAAGTGTGTCTCCTGAGGATTTCATAACCTGAACAGAACTCTTATTACTTGGATTACTTTTAGAGTCAGGACACTGTTCCTTTGCAGGACTCTTCAGTGTTACCAACTTTTCACCCAACATGTCCTCTGAGTCAGAACTAGAACTGTGGATATCTGAGATGACTCGCTTACGATCTGGGACATACTTTGGTTCCTCTTGGGTGACTGACTGGCCTGACTCTGGCTAGAAGCGGAACTGTGTATCTGAGACTGTCTGTGAGTCCTTCTCTTTGGCCAGGATATCTCAGGTAAATCAGTGCCGCCTGCATCCTGTGTAAACATCAGCTCATCAGCAAAATCTTGCCTTGAAGACCTTGTTCCTCTTGTTTCACTTTGATTTTGGAATTTCTTGAAGATAGATGAGGTGTTGTAGATTGGAGACACCTGTGAATTTGCAGCAATATTCCCGGGGTCATGTGGAGTCTTTTTCTTCTGGGAGGATGGTTTGTGTGACACAGTCTTATTATCAGATTCATCAGAGGAGAACAAGTCAATGATGACATACTCCTCATCAGACACATCATCCTCATACTGACTAGCACTTGTGGTGGCTTTTGTCTTTTTAGCGGTAGTGGGTTTTTCAGACACTGGGAGACAGTCGTCAAGATTCTCATCACTGGCCTCCCACCTCCGTCTCTTGCGTTTGTTAAACAGGTCATGCTGCTGGCTGCCACTGACTCCCGGTCTTTGGGGAGTCTGCTTGTTGCTGGTGTCCTCGTTACAGCTGGTCTTAGACTTGGATAACCACATACCAAGTTAGAGGAAATCCTGGAAGAAAACAGATAAAACAAATCAATAAATACAACTATGCAAAATGATAAATCACATGAATATTTTAATGGAAAAATAGTACCATGGGACAGGAGTCACAATAACAAATGACTGATTCAACAGCTGCATTTCATTGGTGCTTCTTTATCTGCAATGATATAAAAATATTTCCTTTATTTTCATATTTAGTGGCCAGAGGTGATAGATGTCATGACCATAGATAGATGCTGACCATGCAAGCCATGTCATTATCTCATTTTACTGTCACTCAGCATCATCAATTGAGCTAAAACAGTAAGTAAACTTTTGGGGTGATCTAAATATACCAAATCACACCCAGTAACTGTTTATTTATTCATCCACTGAAGATATGTGAAAACTGGTCTACCAGCGATATCATCAAATAATAGTTTGTTCTACCAAGTAAGCATCATTCAAGCAATATGGAAGATGCAGTAAAGAGATTTATTGTGTCTACACCTTGGTGGTAAATTCCTGCAACAAAATGGATGTTTTTCAGTGACAATGTGATTGAATCATAGGACACACTGATTGTATCAAAAATGTGATAAATGACAGATGAGTAGGACTGTCTGTATGTGTTGCAAAATACATCTTAGTGCTGACAGAAATACATGCAATCATATAATGATGCTGAGATGTTAGTGCCATAAAAAAATACATGTAATGTGATGTAGCATAGAAGCAAGTTGTGAATCTCATAAGAATGACAAAATGTAAGGGTATAATTCTGGAACATATGTTTAAGTTAGACAGTGAGTTTAGTTTTACATCGCTCTCAGGAATATTCCAGCTATTATAATTAGTCTGGACCAGACAATCCAATGATCAACAGCATGAGCATCAATCTACGCATTTGGAATACGATGACATGTGTCAATCAAGCCAGCAAGGCTGACCACCCGACCCCGATAGTCGCCTCTTACGACAAGTATGGGTTACTGAAGATCAGTTCTAACCCGAATCTTCATGGGTCTCACATATGTATACAAATATTGGTGTTAAACAAATATCAATGCATGGTTAAAGGATATTTATGTTCTTTATCATGTTTAAAATTTTGTACTCCATGACTATTGATCATGACAAGGTATCACTTCACTCCAAGAGCACAAATGGATGTGGTTTACTCCAATTTGGCATTATATTTCATAAGGCAAATGTTTCACCATGTTCTACCATTTCCAGTTCTTATTATAATAGCTGGTCATTGTCATCAGGGCATAGGTGGTATAATTATCCAAGGCACTATCATCAGTTGTGTAAACTGGTGTCCCTAGAACCTATCATGATGGATTCATCCTAATTAGTGCTTGTGGATTTCACTCAAGTGGTACTTACCACTTACTATCAACCAGTTATCTCTAAGGAGCAACTATCACCCCTAACAGTACTTGGTAAACATGACTGTTTCACTTTTGATCATTTACAGGGAAGAAAATTTCATCAACAATTATTCACCATTATTCATCCCAAATAGAAATGTACAATGAATATTTTATGTGGTTTACTGAATTAGAAGTGCTTCTTTAGTATGTTAGAATATGTGAATGCTGGGCTGTGAACAAATGATTAGAACGATATAATGGTCAATGTAATCCCCATTTTACATATGCAACAAATATGAAAATATCCCAGTGTCAGGGGTTTTCGACGATGTAAGACAAAAACGTATTTTTTATCTATAATATCATTTAAAGTTTGTATTTTACTAACCTTGAGTGATAAATGATATATTCATCTATTTCACACAAAAATATCAAGTGTTCCCTACAAAAATAGCGTTGATGAAATCGTATCGGCGAAACTGTTGCCGCTCGTAACATCCAGGTATTTTGTATGGGTTTTCAACGATGAGCCATACTTTTTGCTCAGCACTGCGAGGGAGTGTTGTGATCACGTGGATTCCTTTTTATATATTGCCTGTCACCAGAAGACGACTGTTCTAACTGAATTTTCGCTTGCTAATTTTTGTTATAAAGGGAGCTGATTTTGCATCGTAAGTGGTATTAACAATCTCAGGTAAATAATATTGATGTTTGTTTGCTTTTTATATAACTTTACTTCCCGATTTCTATTGTCAATAAAACTTCTCACGACAGCGACTAGGCATCCGCCCTACCGCTGAAACTTCTTCTGCACTCTGATCGCTGGTACTCTCCCGATATAGCGCGAGCAATGCAATCGTCGACATCACCATAACGTCGAATTCAGCTCGTGTTGGGATTTATTGTTCCAAAACTTGTACACAGGTTCTCTAGTGAGTGAGTATGTTTTTTACAGCACTATTAGCAATATTCTAGCATTTGGCTTCACACATTGTACTGATGTGGGAACTCAAACTCACGTCTTCATCGTGATGAGCAGACGTTCGTGTGCATAAAACATCTATATTTTTGTATGGGCCATCCAAATGTATGTACTAGTCAACCAGATATGCTCCTGATCAGGTATGGGTCTGATGGAAATTTCAGATGAAGGCTAGCCATTTTCAGGGGGCAACAATCTTCATGGGTAGTGACTGTCTATACAGAGTAGTATACCTTTGGGGCCCGCAGTGGACTGATCAAAGTGGCCTTAAACCATATTCGCTCACATTATTTTGTCATAAACTTGTTGACATTTTCAAAAACATTGAAGTCATTTCAAAACACAGACACTGTCTCCATAATAGTATCCTCGTGTCATGGAAGTTCGATCACTTAAGAACATAAGTTACATGCCAATCGAACTAGTGTGACTTGACGATATGTTTACCATCATGTGCTTTTGAGGTATCATAGCATTTTCGAACATTATGTTCAAAGATCTGATATGGATGACTGGGAAATAACTGCATTAAACTTCACTGATGTGTTTCGCAACTAATGATGGAAAATCTGCTGTTTCGATACTCACATGAGTTTGGGATAAACCCACTATGCATCCCGCTGATAGCCAATAGTCCGATGTACGAACATGACATGAGCAATAATATGTCGGTACTGGCGTACAGACATAATTAATTTAGTTGTATGTCAATGTTTCAAGACCTTTGCATGATAGAATGTTGCCCTGAATACATGTGGGTGGGTATTTAATATTTTTTGGAACCGTACGTCGAAAAAACAAACATCAGTTCACAAAAACGAAAGTAGGGACATCAGATCTAATTTTCATAATTTTATCCACACACCTATGCATACATGAAAAACCAACCCCACATCAAAATCACCTTAAATCTAAAGGAGTTGTCACATTTTAATACGTTGGACGTGTACTTCTCCCTTTGTGGTTTCTGGGTTGCAGTTACCCGCCCTTGTTTTAGAAATTGCCAACAAGTTCGGAAACGAAATATGTAATGTGGCAAAACTAAAACGAACTGAGATTCATCAAACATGCAGTAAAGAAAACCGAAATAAAACTTAACCAATTAGTTTAATGTAGGGTTGAGTTTTTGCTTTTTCAAAACAGTCATTCACAAACGACTACGTAGCTAACGACTACGTAGCTAAACGTGAAGGACAGTGGATGTCCAACAGTAAAATGTAGCCTCGATGTCACAGCAATATATTCACATATCGGAGATTATTACGACAATAATGTAACGACAATAATCAGATGATCAGAAACAATGCATGTGACAGGAAAATCATAATTTCAATCTTATCAAGAAGGTCAGGTGTTGCACGACTACAGAGAAGGACATATTGAAACATTTAGTGAGGGTCGTGGATTGGTTGTATATGAAACATACAAGGAGGGGCATATACCATATACTAGACATATATATATATATATGATACTATACTGATGGCAGTATAACGAATAATACTGAGCCTAAGTTTACTTAGACTGAAACATATGAAACATTCATATATATATGAATGAAACATACAGACAGGGGCATATACTAATGTATGAGACATACAGAGAGGGGTATATACTAAACATATACATGAAACATACAGAGAGGGGCATATCCTAAACATATATGAAACATACAGAGAGGGGCATATACTAAACATACATGAAACATACAGAGAAGGGCATATACTAAACATACATGAAACATACAGAGAAGGGCATATACTAGACATACATGAATCATAGAGAGGGGCATATACTAGACATACAGAGAGGGGCATATACTAAACATATGACACATACAGACAGGGGCAGGGCATATACTAAGCATACATGAGAAGGGCATATACTAAACATACATGAAACATACAGAGAGGGACATATACTAGACATACATAGAGGGGCATATACTAAACATATACTGAACCACAAAAGAAATGTCGCACCGACAGCGGTTTCTTTAAGCGCATTCTTTAATTAACTCTAATTAACAATCAAAACGGAGGATTGAGTTCAAACTTGACATTTATGGTGAACACAGTTTTAGGAATCACATTTAGTGTTCACACAAGCAAAATCACCCAAAATGGTACCATTAAGATACCCCAAAGTCAGTATTGTGTGTGGCCTCCATGGGCATCGATGAAAGCGCTGAATCGTCTGTACATTGAATGAATTAGCCGGCGATGAAGGCCATACATAGGCACTTGGGTCCATACTCTGCAAAATGCCCGATCGAGTCCAGTCGCAGTTGTCGGTCTTGGTTGGAGGTCATTCAGTTTTCTTTGAATCTTGTCCCAAATGTGTTCTATTGGACTTAAATCCGGACTGAGTGCAGGATATTGTAGGGTTTGGATGCCATGTTGTCTTAAATGGTCCATGTTGCTCTGGCAGTGTGGGCACGTGCGTTGTCTTGCTGGAAGATGTGATTTCTGTTACGTCCAAAAAGTGGTACAACGTGGGGTCTTATGACTTGGTCAATATAGCGAGCAGCTGTCACGTCATTTCCTCGTCCTGGACCAAGATTCTGGAACACCATGGTGTCAACTAAGTGGTCCAGGCCGATTGCACCCCACACCATGATGCTTGGACCACCCTATGAGTCTCTTTCAACAATACACTCATTGGAAAACAGTTACCCATGCCTTCACCATACTCTCACTCTGCCATAGACTGTCGAAACACAATACATATCGGCTTTCATCAGATAAAAGCACAGTTTTCCATTGTCGATAACGCCAATTTCGATACTGAGTTGCCCATTTTGGTCGGTGATGAGCGCTGAGGACAGGACTACGCTATGATCTGTGACAGCAGAGGTTTCTTCCGTGTAAACGTCGACGCACTGTATCGGCAATGATGGGTCTGTTGTGAGTCCCCATGGTCTGGTGTGCAGTTTCCGTCGCTCTGGGGAAGCGATCCTGCAGATGGTTGCGTACAGTCTGTCGGTCTTGACGTTGTGATGTTACTGAAGGTCGCCCATTGCGTGGACGGCTTGGATGCTATTAGTGACCTGGATACCACTCCTGCAGTCGGTAGATTGTCCTAACATGAACATTAAAATGAGTGGCTACCCTCCGTGCAATGTGGACAACTTGCAATCGTCCCCAGACTTATTTTGTCAAAACAAAACCATTTCAGGCGAGATTGGGATTCGCTTTCATTGGTAGGGTTGTCACGGCATGCACGTGCATTTTCATTTTCACGAATGTCATTGGGAACCTTTTACCGTGTCTGCCTTTTTCGGTGCGTTTGGTCCATATGTTTTTTCATCAGAAAACACACTGATGTTGGTAATAACTGTCAATTTGGATTGAAAAACATGTTAACAAAACGGAACAATCATAAGAAAAACACCACCTTGTAAGACTAAAATTTTGCATTTGATTTTGAAAGGCGACGTTTCTTTTGTGGTTCAGTATATATGAAACATACAGGGAGGGGTATATACTAAACATATATTAAACATACAGAGAGGGGTATATATTAAACATATATTAAACATACAGAGAGGGGTATATATTAAACATATATTAAACATACAGAGAGGGGTATATATTAAACATATATTAAACATACAGAGAGGGGTATATATTAAACATATATTAAACATACAGAGAGGGGTATATATTAAACATATATTAAACATACAGAGAGGGTATATATTAAACATATATGAAACATACAGAGAGGGGTATATATACTAAACATATATAACATACAGAGGGGTATATATTAAACATATATGAAACATACAGAGAGGGGTATATATTAAACATATATTAAACATACAGAGAGGGGTATATATTAAACATATATTAAACATACAGATAGGGGTATATACTAAACATATATTAAACATACAGAGAGGGGTATATACTAAACATATATGAAACATACAGAGAGGGGTATATATTAAACATATATGAAACATACAGAGGGTATGTACAGAGGGGTATATATATAAACATATATGAAACATACAGAGAGAGGGTATATATTAAACATATATTAAACATACAGAGGGGGTATATATTAAACATATATTAAACATACAGAGAGGGGTATATATTAAACATATATTAAACATACAGAGAGGGGTATATACTAAAACATATATTAAACATATAGAGAGAGGGGTATATACTAAACATATATTAAACATACAGAGAGGGGTATATACTAAACATATATTAAACATACAGAGAGGGTGAACATATATTAAACATGCAGAGAGGGTATATATTTAAACATATATTAAACATACAGAGAGGGGTATATATTAAACATATATTAAACATACAGAGGGTATATATTAAAACATACATATGGAAACATACAGAGAGGGTATATATTAAACATATATTAAACATACAGAGAGGGGTATATATTAAACATATATGAAACATACAGAGAGGGGTATATATTAAACATATATGAAACATACAGAGAGGGGTATATACTAAACATATATGAAACATACAGAGAGGGGTATATACTAAACATATATGAAACATACAGAGAGGGGTATATACTAAACATATATTAAACATACAGAGAGGGGTATATATAAAACATATATGAAACATACAGAGAGGGGTATATATTAAACATATATTAAACATACAGAGATATTAAACATACAGAGGAGAGGGCATATACTAAACATATATGAAACATACAGAAAGGGTCATATTCTAAACACATATGAAACATATAGAGTGGGGCATATACTAAACATATATGAACCACACAGAGAAGGGCATATACTAGACATACATGAAACATACAGAGAGGGACATATATGAGACATACAGAGAGGGGCATATACTATACATGTATACTAAACATATATGAAACATACAGGGAGGGGCATATACTAGACATACATGAAACATACAGAGAGGGACATATACTAGACATACATAGAGGGACATATACTAAACATATATGAAACATACAGGGAGGGGCATATACTAGACATACAGAGAGGGACATATACTAGACATATATGAAACATACAGGGAGGGGCATATACTAGACATACAGAGAGGGACATATACTAGACATACACGAAACATACAGGGAGGGGCATATACTAGACATACAGAGAGGGACATATACTAGACATACATGAAACATACAGAGAGGGGCATATACTAGACATACAGAGAGGGACATATACTAGACATACACGAAACATACAGAGAGGGGCATATACTAGACATACATGAAACATACAGAGAGGGACATATACTAGACATACAGAGAGGGACATATACTAGACATACAGAGAGGGACATATACTAGACATACAGAGAGGGGCATGCACTAAACATATATCTTGAATGTAGAGATTGGCATATACTTAACACTTATGATATATTCCCCGGGCATAAATGAACATGCAGACAAAAGCATTTATCTTACCTCACACATACAATCAATGAGTCAATCGTTTGGTCACACACACACACACACACACACACACACACACACACACACACACACACACACACACACACACACACACACACACACAGAGAGAGAGAGAGAGAGAGAGCGGGGCATGTACAGAAATATTGGTCAGACATCTGAATTACGAGTTTTGGTGATGGATAAAGAGGCAAAATGCAAGAAGTGGCTATACAAGTGTCCACTGGTCCACATAGAGCAAGTAGTTGGGACATTTCCAGGACTACTGGTACATATAGAGATCTGTCGACACATACGTGTACACTTTTAACGAGGTATGAGTAAAAAGCTATACACGCCTGTCACATGGGGCATGTCGGTATAGTAACCAGGCATCAGTTTAAAGTCCCAGCTGTTAATATCAAATGTAACGAGGTACCATGTTCCAGTGCCTAGCACCAATTGTCTAGGTCGTACAGGTTGTAATTGGTTAGTGTGAAAGATTAACAATAACTGGTACCCTATGACATGATGGAAATAATACAGGTAGGCTTGAAGGCTTTGTATGTTTCTGGGACTGCCTGCCTCCTCCGCCTGTACGTAACCTATACTCGTTCGTGTGGCAAGTGGCGTTGAAAGAGGGACTGTTTTGTCTGGTAACATATTCCAAATGTGTTCTAAGAATTTAATGTTGAAGTCTGTGAACATATATGGACTTGCCAGTTGTGTATCATGCTTGGTCTTAATTGATCTCCGTTGACATTTTCGAGTTAGTTTCAAGCAAGAAATATTACATTAACTCTCTTCCTGATACACTTTTCCGAGATTCCCATGTTTCCGATTCCATGCCCTTTGCGAACATATTGGGCGTTCATCTCTCAAGACCGTTAAATGTTGGGGTACCTGTTCGCCCAGTTTCAGTAAATACATTTCTGTGTCTTGAGGGGCGGTTGGATAGCCTAGTGGTTAAAGCGTTCGCTCGTCACGCCGAAGGCCCGGGTTCGATTCCCCACATGGGCACAGTGTGTGACGCCCATTTCTGGCGTCACCCGCCGTGATATTGCTAAAAGCGGCGTAAAACCTCACCCACCCACTCACTCACTCACTCTTGAAGAAAGTAGAGGGAACACTCCAATATGTTTGGCAAGAAGTACCACCTCAGGCAGTTCGCCTGAAATTTGGACACATGAGGGGTAGGACACTGACAACGCTGTCCAAGGTGTCTTGTGGCAAGATATTGTTCATTTCCGCGCATTCGTTCCATTAATCTCAGCTAAACACTCGATTAATATTCTCAGTAATCACTTAACCTGGTTACTAATCGGTTCAATGGTTTTCTTATTACCGCATTCAGGTACATGTAACGAAGCCTTGTCACGTGGTTTATGGTTACTGGGAAGTTATTGTTAACAATACGTTTTACACGTGTTTAACAAGGCGGAAAAATATCAAATTTAGCCACACATGGATAATCTCCCTTGCTAAATGAAACATGCTTGCTTCTCGAAGGATTGTCGGGTGGATTCAACAAGTCTGTACGTTTATTGATAACTTGGCTTAAGTGACAAACAAACATATATCCGCCTTGTCATAGATGTTTTATTTCGCCCTGGCAGTTTTACAGTAGTTAAAGTATATTATTTTTTGTTGTGAAAAAATGACAGCATCAGTTGTTTGAGAAGGCATGATGCCAACCGACTTAGTGACGTCACATCATGAAATTAGTAGGGCGATACGGTGTTGGTAAAATACAATGGAAGGAATAATGATTTAGCTCCACACAGTGGTGTTAGAGACCTCGGGCTGATACTTCAATATCCCAGATTACCCCGACACGCAAACCACGCACACCTTGCCAACACTTGCAACAAAATGGCCACATGGAAATAACTGATTCCTCTTGGAAAACCTACACCTCTTCACCGGTTATGCAGTAGTCACGGCTGCAGACGTTGCGGAGAACTTTCGATAGCTGGCTTTAAGAAGACCATGAAATTAACAAGGCAGTTATACGAAGTTATCAAGTCATTAGTGCTAAATTGGTAAGTGTTGATAACAGTAGGGAAACAATTCGTTCTATTTACACTATTGTTGGACCTTATTGATATAATTATCTACTATACTTCAGGCGATGGTCTTGTTGAAAAGTAAATGAAACCTTCCCCACCATTCTTACATTGGTTAATATATTTTACGTTGATGTAGGCTAAACAGGGGTGGATGTGGGTGGTACGTTGATGTAGGCTAAACAGGGGTGGATGTGGGTGGTACGTTGATGTAGGCTAAACGGGGGTGGATGTGGGTGGTACGTTGATGTAGGCTAAACGGGGGTGGATGTGGGTGGTACGTTGATGTAGGCTAAACGGGGGTTGATGTGGGTGGTACGTTGATGTAGGCTAAACAGGGGTGGATGTGGGTGGGGTTGGTTTTTTTGCCATGCCAACGAACACATCATCACTAATATGCGTATAGACGTGTGTGAATGACCTGACGTATTGTTAATTTGACTAACAGAGGAATAAGGATAAGTTCGTGGTTGCCTTGGACCACGCCGTTGGACGTGTGTGGAACCGTGCCCTAGGGGTGGAGGTGGGGTCACACATGTTGGGTTAGGGTAAGGTTGAGCGTGAGGGTGAAGACAAACAAGGGTTAACGGAACATGTCTCATGAACGGCGGCGAATGTGTCTGTGTGATCCAGTGTCTGGTTACTACCCACTGCGACAAGGGGACTTGGGTGTCTTCGCGGCTAGATCTCACAAGAGTTTGTTAAGATATCAGTTCATGGTGTGAAGATAGTGTATGCTGTACAAATCTCACGCGATCAGACACAAATCACGGTACACATTACCGATTTGGAACTTAGGGCTTTTTGTTACGGGTTCTGCTTAGCTAACATACCTGTGTAGCGATTAACTAACTAGCCTACCGATACTGAAACGAATACACAGAATAGAGAGAGGAAAAATAGAAGTTTATGGACAGCTCCCTACTTCAATCAGTAATAGCTTTAGAGTGATACTATTACAACTGTCCGTAGTTTAATAGGCCAAATGTACTAGGACCCAATGTACGCTGTTCAGGAACCTTCATCATATCAGCATTTCAAGTCGTCAGGCTTTGTCCGGGGAAAGGTCAGTGATTATTTTAAAAATGAGTTTGAATATTTCTTGCATGTGATAATAAATCAAACCTATTTCGTTTATTTCAGAATATGGTCGCTTCAACCATATGTGTCTGAATTAAGCCTTCGAAATCGTACCGTTGTACAGAACATTTGACAACTCGTGATGGCCAAAGTGATAGATAGACTGCGTATCCAAGGGGTATCCCCGTCTCGGGAAAACACGTTCAGCTCTCACAGTAAAGTAATCCAGCCGCTTCCACCTCCTACAGATAAAGCATGGGTAGCTAACGGTGAAAGTTTCTACATGCCTGGTCGGCCGAGCTGCAGTAAAGAATTTCTCAATACCAGCACCAACCCTGCTTCCAGGCGAATGGAAGTACTCTCACGCATGCGCACAGCGAACCAAGGCATTTCTACCATGGACACCAACTTCGGTCCGTCATCAATTCAGTTTGTGCTTCGTGGGAAACCAGTACGTGACAGGTTGGGGAAATACGTCGCGCAAGACACATTAAAACTGCTCCCTGACAGAATCCAGCCCCTGCAGCGAAGCCAGCCTCAAGACGTCGATCGTCAAATCAAAGTCCATATTGGAAAGGCTCACAGCGAGCCTAGTAATGGAGCCGTGTTAGAGAAGGAGATGAGAGACATGAAAACAAAAGACGACATCAGTCTTCCTTCTTTCGCATCCCCTTACTTCATGCTTGGTCCAGCGCTGTCTCCGTCGTATGGGAGCATGTCCAAGAGGTCAACTCGATCCCAAGGGGAAGGTTTTGAACTCACTGGCCATAAAATGAAGGGTGCGGATTGCGGGACATCCAGATCTGGGTACAGTGAGATCTACCCCAGCATCGATAGCCCCATCCGGTCATCTCGCCGATTCACGCGTAACGCCTTCAAGGAGAGCCCTTCTCCCATCGTAGCCCAAAATACTCAGCAACTCAACCAATGTCTTAGTGTTAACCAGAGCATTCGTCTTCCCCTGGGAACCCAGACTGAGGCAATCAAGCTGAAACACTTCACCCAGTTCGTGAAGAAAGATGCCAAAGCTAGCTACAATAACCCTTACAGAAAGGTAAAGAAAGAACGTCGCACCGTCGCAAAGACAGACACCCAGTACCAGTTTGACTCTGTCTCCAGTTACGTCCATTTCAATCGGATCTACCAGCAGCCCACTCCCGGCCGGTCAGTGGCTGTGCATGTACCCCAGATGTCCGGTTTCCCAGCCCACTGCACGGACACCGTGCTGCTGCGGATGATGCTTGAGATGAACAGGCCAGGTGCGTTGAGGTCTCCAGACAAGTACTCTGACGTAGCAATTCATAAGGATCTTGAGGAATTCCTCATGGTGCGCTCACCTTCAGCCTTCAGTAAATCGGGCTCCGCCAACAGTAAGAAGACCGGGCGGAACAAGAGTGGGCAAAGCAATGTGGACACGCCTATAGAGGAAGAGGGAGACTGTGCGTGGGCCGGCAACCAGGTGAAGGAATCGACGGAGGTCAGGGAAGAGGACACGCCGGGCATGCAGGGACTGGAGGCTCGGGAGGCCCAAGAGGCTGATAACGGGAAAGAAGCCGGGGAAGAGGAGGATGTTCAGTTGCAGGATGAAGCTCAGCTTGTTGATGAGGGAATTGGCGAAGTGGAGGAAGACGGGTGTATCAAGGAAGAAGAGGGAGTCAATGAAGAGGATAGAGTATGATACATGCTCTGTGGTGGTACGGGACTCGATATAGTGCGAATATGAACAGCTCATCAGACCAATGCAAAGCGAGTTTAAGACCTGTGGTATTATTTATGACAAACACATTGTCTCAACTTACTATTTATTATTTTTCCTCCAGCAATGTGACCGGCATGTTTCTGTAATCTCATAAAGATGTTTGCTCTATGTCGTATGTACATATATCATATTCATCTTATACATTCCTGGCCTTCCCGACACCTAGTGCCTTTTGTCGTCACGCCACGGCAGACAAGGTCCACAATGTATATTTGTGTAGCCTTTTGTGTTTGTCCATAACGATTGGCGGGATGTGGCCTAGTAGTCCACTCGTTGCACCAAAGACACGAGTTCGATTCCCTATGTGGTTACAATGTGTGAACCCAGTTTCTGTAGCCTATCCATCGTGTTGTCGGTCGTGATATTGCTTGTATATTGCGAGAAGCGATGCACTCACTTAATCCGACTGAGCGTCAGGTTTGAGCGGTCATATTTTGTGTATCTGAAACTGAAACATACTGTTATCTGAAACTGAAACATACAGTTATGATTAAACGTATTAAAGAGTAGTTTGTAGTGTATTTAGTCTTGTCAAACGTAAGCACCCTATGGGGTTTGTTTATATTGCCTCGTCAGTCCGTTGCGATGGAGTCGCTGTTTTATCCAATGAATCAAGTGCGCCCGGTTACAGCGAGAGGGGAATCGAGAGCGGCCTGTATCTATACGCTTTACTTCAGTGTGGGATGTAGAAAGGTTTGCACACATTTCATTCAAGAAGTAGTTTTTTTTGTTTACTCCGCTAGTTGCACACGACCTCCATCCCCACACAAAAGCAGCACGTTGGCAGCCCAGGACACGCCAGCAACAGAAATCACTGTATAGTTGTTACAACTTAATCAACTTTATATATTGTAATTGATACAGTGCTACGACAGTGGCGTTAGTTATTTAATTGCAGGAAAGGTTATTTCTACTGCTTGCCGTCCTGACGCTTTAGGTCTAGGAAATCCCCTTTTTATGATGTCATTTTCTGGTAAAAACAGAACAATGATATGACAACTTTATTGAAGATAAAACTGTAAAAATGGCAAATACCTGAATAACTTTAAATTCTTGAAGCTCAGTCTGCACGCCACTGGCTCATAGGAGTACACGTACGTTTTGCCTTGGAGTCATTCTCTTGGACATATTAGGCCCAATTAGAGCCAAAACTTCATCAAATTGCTCTTTGTACTCCTAAGTGTTGACCGAAGCGATCGCTGTCCAGCTCGAGCTCTTTCACAAGACCATATTATTCTCCATATTGCAACATTGTCTGAAGGATATAGTGCATCCAATGTGCTCTATTTGCAGTCTCAAGTATACGTACATCGATCAGTACCAAAGTTTATTTGCGTTGTCCATATACATATTGGTTGTCAATTTTCAGTGATAACAGAAAGACATCGCTGGAATAGCTTGTCAATTTCTTGTACCAAAATAACATCCCTTTCACATTGAAAATCTGAAACATTACTTCCATACTAACAAATCATGTTTTCTATATTTCTTCAGCAAGTGTCGTCCTATTTGATTTGTTAAATGCATTGAAGCGCTACCCAAACGTAGATCCACAGCACTAGCTTAGTGTGGGGAGCCCTTTAATGTAGTCGCGTGTGTTGGCTACACAGCACAGCGGCCCTATATGACCCTTGCACTCTTCACGCTTTACAGCGCCTATACTCATGCCCACAATAACGTCAGACCTGGGCAAAGGTCGTGATACTCAATTTGCAGGTGCATGTTCGTGCACAAGGTTTGATGTTTGCGTGTTTGATGGGAGCATGAATACTCATTCACCTGTATTATAAGCATGAACAGATGCTCATAAAACTCGTGTTTACTTTTGTTTACCATTGTAACAATTACGCAATATTGTGGCCTATACGCTATGGGTATAATACTGCAAACATGAAAGGTGCAAAAGGCTTTTACTTGGCATTTACTGTTCATCGAAACACAACACCATCCCTTTGAATATGTTATCTATAGCAGAGTAATGTTCATGACTCGCTCAGTGCAGGGTCGTTCACATGTGACGACACGTCAACAGGACAACCACATTCGGTTGGTGCATCTACGGATTCAATACGAAACTGTACCATTTTAAGGATTGCATTGCGACACGTCCAATCATATTTCCACGTCGCCATCTCAGGCACGCCTAGCTTATTGTCGACAGTATTTGAGATTTAGAAGACAACACTTGGACAGTAGATTGTTCACAGACGAGTCCAGGTTCCATCTGAACAACTGTGGTCGTGCAAGGGTCTACTGACGTCCTCGAGGAGTGTTCAGCGTTACTGAACGTTGTCATGTTGGGGGGTGGAAAGCTAGTGGTATGCATCACATTTCTTCTTTTTCCGTCTGAACGGTGGACGCTACCGGGACGACATCGGTCGAGATCAGATTGTACCCTTTGTGCAAAACACAGGGAAGTAGTGAGTGAGTTTAGTTTTACGCCGCACTCAGTAATATTCCAGCTATACTAGCTAAATAATCGCGTCTGGACCAGACAATCCGGTGATCAACAGCATGAGCATCGATCAATTGGGATACGATGACATGTGTTAACCAAGTCAGCGAGCCTGACCACCCGATCCCGTTAGTCTTAGCCTCTTACGACAAGCATGGGTTACTGAAGATCAATTCTAACCCAGATCTTCACGGGTTTCACAGGGAAGTAACGTTACATGGCAGTAGGATAATGCCTGACCACAAGTTGCATGTATTGTAACAAACACTTTCAGATAGCATCACATTGTCAGTTTTTCTAGACCGCTTCTCCCATAAAACATGTGGGGGTGAAATAGGGATATCCCCTAGCCTCATCTCAATGCTGCACTCAAACAACGGAGAAGATCTAGATATACAGACATATAACATAGGGATGTGTCTGTTCCAATATTATATATTTGTTGTCATTAAACTTGTAGACGACCCCACTAAACATAATGATATGAGCAAAAACATTTGTATTGTCGGTGAAGCTGGATAATGCACACCGTTGTGTATTGTCGGTGAAGCTGATAATGCACACCGTTGTGTATTGTCGGTGAAGCTGGATAATGCACACCGTTGTGTATTGTCGGTGAAGCTGGATAATGCACACCGTTGTATTATTGTCGGTGAAGCTGGATAATGCACACCGTTGTGTATTGTCGGTGAAGCTGGATAATGCACACCGTTGTGTATTGTCGGTGAAGCTGATAATGCACACCGTTGTGTATTGTCGGTGAAGCTGGATAATGCACACCGTTGTGGCTAAGTAACTGACCAGAATATATTATCAGTGCTATATTGAATGTTGCCAGATGAAAGCCTACAAGCCATAAGGCAGTGCTGATGCTGATAGCACTGAAATACTGACATAAGTGTTGACAACACCTCCGACAAAATGGATTATCGGGAATGATTCTCCTCTTCAACTAATACCGTCTACTGTAATATGGTGATATTAATCACGAACCATAGCACGTTCACTGACCCAGTATTTTTATGTTTAGGTTCTATATGTGGTAAACCCCCTTATACCGCCCTCCGCTTAAAGTCATTGTATACACCTTGAAAATGATTCGCTGCACCCATAATCTTTACCCCCATATAGCCATTCATATTCACATAAAAGTTATGTTTGGTTGTAAGAATTGTTTACACAACATAAACCACCATACGTTAATATATATATAGATATGCACGTGCTACTGTCCAGTTTCAGTAAATTGTTCTTATGTACAGCCAGAGACCATCTATTATATATATGGTCTCTGGTACAGCTCGATTACTTGGAAAACCATTGGAGTTCGTTGTTGATAGGAAAATATGGGACCTCCCTGAACATGTTTAGTATTTAAACGATTTTAGTATTTAAACATGTTCAAATTCTAAACTTGTCTAGATTATGAGACTGTTGTGTTTAGATTGTCAAGTCTTGGTCTTGAGACGATAGCCCACTTTTATGAGTTAGGATACACTCAGTGTGTATTCCTTCAGGTTTTGTTTTTTTCCCGCTCTTTATTAAAACGTATATAAGACCACGATTGTTACATGTCGACCTACATATGCCACAGGGCACCACGGACATAGCTTCATTCGGCATACATTGAATACAAGCTTATCCATTTTACTGTAACATAAAGTCAAAAGTGGTTGACATTATAATTTTATATTTATAAGAACTACGATATATTACTTCTAGATGTTTGATAAATTCCCTTTTGAAAGCTTTGAGTGTTGTAAACATATAAAATGTTGCTACTGTGAAGACATAATTAAGACTTATAATATTAGCTTTATCTAAAGAATCTGTTTCCTGACAACCAAGCAATACGTTCTCTCTGTAACTTTGTGGTTTGAACTGTGTGCAAAAATTATGCTGTTGCCAATCAATAAACTTTAACCAAAACGGTAAGACTGATGAACAATAAAGCATGTAATGATTAATAGTATCAGTTGAATCACACTTAGCAGTGTTCTTAATGTTAAGTTTATGTAAGTAAACATTACATGGAACAATAGAGTGTAAAATTTTAAAATGGAGATGTTTGAATTGATTTTCTAGCGATAAACTCATAATAGGTCTCCATTTGTCTTTTGCAACTTCAGGTCATGGCTTAACTAATTTATGTTGCTATAAATTGTACCAAAATTTAGATTTTATTGGCATCTCATTAACTGGAATGCTGTCAAGAAAGGTCTACACTGGTAGCGTGGGTTTGGGGAATTATTGCTATATATATTTTCCCCTACACTTCTCTTAACAGAATTTATGATGTTTTTATAATCTCTTTTAGAAGTCAAAATGTTAAACTTGAGGTTTAAGTTAGATTGGGATAAAAGGGCGCCGTGTTCATCAACTAACTGTCTTATAAAGATTATTCCTGCTTTTTTCCATTCAATATTCATGAGACTTTTTTTATTACATATAATGTTTTTGTTATTCCATATAACAGCATTATATACATCCTCATCTTCTTTGGAAGACACCTCCTGCCAATACTGTAATACCTTAATCTGACCTTCAATTTTTTCACAATAAAATCGCATTGTAGTAAAAATTGCAGAGAACCCAATTTATGAAATATGTTTTCAATAATACTCTTCCAAAAGCTATTTTTCTTAAAATATCTAGAAATCCATACAAGTTTAAGTGATATATCCATTAATAATAAGTCTAAAGATTTTGTCCCCCCTTCATTCTTATCTTTCGACATCTGTTTTCTTGAAACCTTCTCTGATGAGCTGTTCCATATGAACTTAAATAAACTGTTAATCTATTTCAAGCGCTCTTGAGGGATTATTAAAAACCTTAATGGATAAATAAGCCTGGAAAATCCCTCTGATTTTGTTAATAAAGTTCTACCATAAGTAGTTCAGTTTCGAAGTCTCCAGTTGTCAAGCCGTTTTAATAGTTTATCCACTTTTGAATTTACGTTACTCTTTTATTCTATTATGTCATGCTTATTTGAAACTATACCTACATGTATATATTTAATTTTTTCAACCTTCCTAAGCCCTTATATATCGGAAGAATGTTTTTCTTCCTATCTTCATTGATTGCCATAACGACCGATTTATTCACATTGATTTTTAATCCTGTAAATTGAGTTTGGTATTTATAAAACTTTCACATACATTCCTAAACATGTACAACACAAGAATTTCTGGAAATGAGAAATGCCGTTAGCTTGGACATAATGAGACAAAATTCAAAATTGTTTTGTGGCTATAGCTTTTATAAAACCCGCGTGGAATATGCCAGAATTGCAGTTTCGTATACACTCCACACAATTAGTCTTTCATGATGATCGAAAAGTCAAACATAACCTTGCATTTAAGAGTGTTTCGTGTTGATCGTATGTTGGTGAGTTAAATTATTATCCATGCAAAGACTATCACCAGCACTCTTGTTTTCGATTGACAGTAGATACATAGTCCATGCTCACCTAAGCTGCAACAAAGAGACAGGTAAGCTAGGGGAACGAACCTGGAGATTTTCAAGCAACATCACTGTTGTCATTGATGTGGGTCAACACGTAAACTACACACACAAGCAGCCAGGAGTCGGCTGGCCTATGTGTAACGACTAACGATATGCACCAAGCCAATCGTCGTTGTCTCTGTCAGGATTCTGGAGATTCAAAGTGTTGAGGTTCGGGTCTTCAATAGGCGTGGCTACTCTTGATCAGCCTCTGGTTGGCCTGTCTGATGTCTGCCCGACGCAACACGCTAGTTACAGCAACACGAAGCAACAAGTTCTACCACCATGGGTGGCGCCCATATGAATAATACAGAAGGACCACCCACGTTGTTTCAGTGTCAGTCGTGGCGTGTTAATTACGCTCTTGTTATCATCGTGTGTATCTCATATGCAGTCCGTATCATTTATGTACCCTGCTTGCACGTGTAGTTTCGGTTGACCAAGGGACACATGCTATCCAATTTAAGGCATTTTCTACAACAATTAACACCCCACCCAAAGAACCGTGCCGTGCACGTGCATCACTTTCTATACACAGAGCAGTGTTATGTTTTGACGATGTGTTTTGTATTGATTTAGTTTCAACGGGTGTTTTGGGTTTTTTTATTACCATTTTTAGCGTATTCCTGTGACCGTTAGTAGTAATGCCAAGTCTAGCTATCTCCCGAAAGTGAAAACAATGTATAATGTTTATGGACGATGACGGGCCAGGTGAGTCAATATGAATCCAGTTTTCACTGTTTCCGGTATAACACATGGACAGATGAGGTTTATACAGATGAGGAGCCGGAGATGGCGGATTTTCATTTGGATCCCAAGTATTGCCGTGGTGCATTGTACAGCTGTAGATTTCGTCCATCTGACGCATGTATGATAATTCATGAATTCATTCAAGTAACTGCCCCCGACAGAATTTCCTCATCTTCTCATGCGCGACAACAGAGTACAAACTAAGTATACTGACGGGCCCCTGCATGTGGCAACCGTAATATATACTGGGAAGGAAGTGGGAAGTTGATCTCCTGCCTCTGACCAAACCTCTACATGTCCAGTTGGGTCCTCAAACTACCCGTCACTATATACTAGTGGTACCCTACCACGCACTAGCTCAGTATCGGGCTTCTACTGCAGGTTGAGCCTGTATAAGGTGGGGTATGCGGGACAGGTTGCCTGTCATACAGACCCTGAAACAATTATACCTAATACAGCCAATGCAAGTCTAGACTATGTGGCAAGTCAAGCTTAGGGCCTACCACAGTTTCTGAAAATGAAAAAAAATCTTAGCACTTTTTTATTATATTATATCATATTTTTTACCAAAAGTTTTTATTGTTCCCAAGAGTACATCGTTACATAGATATTCACATTTTCAATGTTTGACACACAGAATACAAAAATACATACCAATAGTGAGTCTAGGTTTATTGTTGCGTTGGGAATATAGATAGCCATATCTTATAAATGTAATTCAGGAACAATTTTCTATAAGATATGTTTATTTCAGAGATTATAGATGGTCAGGGTGTACCTTTTTATTGCTGGATTCTAGGACACAAGTAGAGAGGACTTTCATGTTAAGAACATATCCGTTAGTGTGTTTGGAAAATGACTTTACTGGAGATATCACAACATTTGGTTTTCTTTTTATGAATAATACACAACTTTATAGGAAACAAGGGGAGACAATCGCTATAGAAATTAACAACGCCCACTAATGGACGTGTCGTTAATTTGGTTGTACAGCTGTATTGGGGGCGAAACATACATCTAATCCATCAGAATGTCACTCAGATGGTAGCATAAGCCAACAGTACTAGTAGTTTCGTCCGTCTTTGGCAGCACATTATTTATCACCTGACTATCTCCGAGTCAACCAACCTTCGCTTCCGCCTCGGTGAGAAGTGTATGTGTAGGTCAGCCAGAAATGCGCGATATTGCACCACACGTGTGTCACAGCAAGCACGCAACACCGTAACCTGTATATATCCCAGAACACACTATTTATTACTGACGGTGCCGGGAAGCCGACTGCTGATTTGCCTTATATCAGCACTATATAGTGGGGGAAAAGGAAGTTCACCTTTCTAACCTAAACAGGTAGGCACTTATCGGACTACGAATTACGAGTAATAATTATGTTGTTGTTTTAGATAATGTGGTCAGTTATTAATGGATTGTGGATAAACCCGATCCTGTTATTTACATGTGTAGTATCAAGTGTCAAAGCAAGATATCCTGCACGGCTTGAACCACAGGAATATGTAGCTCTGTCGAAAATATGAAAATAGTGACCCAGTTATCTCACGAGGCCTCGTAGCAGACATGATTCAATGCATTTTATAGATTATTTCAACAGCTACACAATAATAACTCTCAAGTATTTCCCGTGAAACTTTACTTATGTCAAGACGAACAAAGTATGTCCACTAGTGTCTAGTTCATCAATTTAAAATTGTTATATTTTGTTCACGTTCGATTTCTTTTCAAGATATTTCATATGACTTTTAAATTGCTGGGAACCAGTGCAAGCTTTGCTCCGAGTTATGTTTCAGATAGTAGGCCTACAACATTCACTCCACATGAAATGTAAATCAGTCGCGGTTAACCTTACACGTATATGAATGGCCATATAGTTTGTGACTTGTTGAGCCGGGGCACTCAGAGCTATCTTTCCTGGGTGTAGGGGTTATCCTTGCTTGTCACACTGACCCGACAGTTGTACTGACGGGGTTGTCCTGGGTGTGGGGGTTATCCTTGCTTGTCACACTGATCCGACAGTTGTACTGACGGGGGTTGTCCTGGGTGTGGGGGTTATCCTTGCTTGTCACACTGATCCGACAGTTGTACTGACGGGGGTTGTCCTGGGTGTGGGGGTTATCCTTGCTTGTCACACTGATCCGACAGTTGTACTGACGGGGGTTGTCCTGGGTGTGGGGTTATCCTTGCTTGTCACACTTATACGACAGTTGTACTGACGGGGGTTGTCCTGGGTGTGGGGTTATCCTTGCTTGTCACACTTATACGACAGTTGTACTGACGGGGGTTGTCCTGGGTGTGGGGGTTATCCTTGCTTGTCACACTGATCCGACAGTTGTACTGACGGGGGTTGTCCTGGGTGTGGGGTTATCCTTGCTTGTCACACTGATACGACAGTTGTACTGACGGGGGTTGTCCTGGGTGTGGGGGTTATCCTTGCTTGTCACACTGATCCGACAGTTGTACTGACGGGGGTTGTCCTGGGTGTGGGGGTTATCCTTGCTTGTCACACTGATCCGACAGTTGTACTGATGGGGGTTGTCCTGGGTGTGGGGGTTATCCTTGCTTGTCACACTGATCCGACAGTTGTACTGACGGGGCTTGTACCGGGTGTGGGGGTTATCCTTGCTTGTCACACTGATCCGACAGTTGTACTGACGGGGGTTGTCCAGAGTGTATGGGTTATCCTTGCTTGTCACACTGATCCCACAGTTGTACTGACCGGGCTTGTACTGGGTGTGGGGGTCATCCTTGCTTGTCACACTGATCCGACAGTTGTACTGACGGGGGTTGTCCTGGGTGTGGGGGTTATCCTTGCTTGTCACACTGATCCGACAGTTGTACTGACGGGGGTTGTCCTGGGTGTGGGGGTTATCCTTGCTTGTCACACTTATACGACAGTTGTACTGACGGGGTTGTCCTGGGTGTGGGGTTATCCTTGCTTGTCACACTGATCCGACAGTTGTACTGACGGGGGTTGTCCTGGGTGTTGGGGTTATCCTTGCTTGTCACACTGATCCGACAGTTGTACTGATGGGGTTGTCCTGGGTGTGGGGTTATCCTTGCTTGTCACACTTATACGACAGTTGTACTGACGGGGTTGTCCTGGGTGTGGGGGTTATCCTTGCTTGTCACACTGATCCGACAGTTGTACTGATGGGGGTTGTCCTGGGTGTGGGGGTTATCCTTGCTTGTCACACTGATCCGACAGTTGTACTGATGGGGGTTGTCCTGGGTGTTGGGGTTATCCTTGCTTCTCACACTGATCCGACAGTTGTACTGACGGGGGTTGTCCAGAGTGTATGGGTTATCCTTGCTTGTCACACTGATCCCACAGTTGTACTGACGGGGGGTTGTCCTGGGTGTAGGGTTATCCTTGCTTGTCACACTGATGCGACAGTTGTACTGACGGGGGTTGTCCTGGGTGTGGGGTTATCCTTGCTTGTCACACTGATCCGACTGTTGTACTGACGGGGGTTGTCCTGGGTGTGGGGGTTATCCTTGCTTGTCACACTGATCCCACAGTTGTACTGACGGGGGTTGTCCAGAGTGTATGGGTTATCCTTTCTTGTCACATCGAGCCTACAGTTGTACTGACGGGGGTTGTCCTGGGTGTGGGGGTTATCCTTGCTTGTCACACTGATCCGACAGTTGTACTGACGGGGGTTGTCCTGGGTGTGGGGTTATCCTTGCTTGTCACACTGATACGACAGTTGTACTGATGGGGTTGTCCTGGGTGTGGGGTTATCCTTGCTTGTCACACTGATGCGACAGTTGTACTGATGGGGGTTGTCCTGGGTGTGGGGATTATCCTTGCTTGTCACACTGATCCGACAGTTGTACTGACGGGGCTTGTACCGGGTGTGGGGGTTATCCTTGCTTGTCACACTGATCCGACAGTTGTACTGACGGGGGTTGTCCTGGGTGTGGGGTTATCCTTGCTTGTCACACTGATCCCACAGTTGTACTGACGGGGGTTGTCCTGGGTGTGGGGTTATCCTTGCTTGTCACACTTATACGACAGTTGTACTGATGGGGGTTGTCCTGGGTGTGGGGGTTATCCTTGCTTGTCACACTGATCCGACAGTTGTACTGACGGGGGTTGTCCAGAGTGTATGGGTTATCCTTGCTTGTCACATCGAGCCTACAGTTGTACTGACGGGGGTTGTCCTGGGTGTGGGGGTTATCCTTGCTTGTCACACTGATCCGACAGTTGTACTGACGGGGGTTATCCTTGCTTGTCACACTGATCCCACAGTTGTACTGACCGGGCTTGTACTGGGTGTGGGGGTCATCCTTGCTTGTCACACTGATCCGACAGTTGTACTGACGGGGGTTGTCCTGGGTGTGGGGGTTATCCTTGCTTGTCACACTTATACGACAGTTGTACTGACGGGGTTGTCCTGGGTGTGGGGTTATCCTTGCTTGTCACACTTATACGACAGTTGTACTGACGGGGGTTGTCCTGGGTGTGGGGGTTATCCTTGCTTGTCACACTTATCCGACAGTTGTACTGACGGGGGTTGTCCTGGGTGTGGGGGTTATCCTTGCTTGTCACACTGATCCGACAGTTGTACTGACGGGGGTTGTCCTGGGTGTTGGGGTTATCCTTGCTTCTCACACTGATCCGACAGTTGTACTGATGGGGGTTGTCCTGGGTGTGGGGGTTATCCTTGCTTGTCACACTGATCCGACAGTTGTACTGACGGGGCTTGTACCGGGTGTGGGGGTTATCCTTGCTTGTCACACTGATCCGACAGTTGTACTGACGGGGTTGTCCAGAGTGTATGGGTTATCCTTGCTTGTCACACTGATCCCACAGTTGTACTGACGGGGCTTGTACTGGGTGTGGGGGTCATCCTTGCTTGTCACACTGATGCGACAGTTGTACTGACGGGGGTTGTCCTGGGTGTGGGGGTTATCCTTGCTTGTCACACTGATCCGACTGTTGTACTGACGGGGGTTGTCCAGAGTGTATGGGTTATCCTTGCTTGTCACATCGAGCCTACAGTTGTACTGACGGGGGTTGTCCTGGGTGTGGGGATTATCCTTGCTTGTCACACTGATCCGACAGTTGTACTGACGGGGGTTGTCCTGGGTGTGGGGGTTATCCTTGCTTGTCACACTGATCCGACAGTTGTACTGACGGGGGTTGTCCTGGGTGTTGGGGTTATCCTTGCTTCTCACACTGATCCGACAGTTGTACTGATGGGGGAGTTGTCCTGGGTGTGGGGTTATCCTTGCTTGTCACACTGATCCGACAGTTGTACTGACGGGGCTTGTACCTGGGTGTGGGGGTTATCCTTGCTTGTCACACTGATCCGACAGTTGTACTGACGGGGGTTGTCCAGAGTGTATGGGTTATCCTTGCTTGTCACACTGATCCCACAGTTGTACTGACGGGGCTTGTACTGGGTGTGGGGGTCATCCTTGCTTGTCACACTGATGCGACAGTTGTACTGACGGGGGTTGTCCTGGGTGTGGGGGTTATCCTTGCTTGTCACACTGATCCGACTGTTGTACTGACGGGGGTTGTCCAGAGTGTATGGGTTATCCTTTCTTGTCACATCGAGCCTACAGTTGTACTGACGGGGGTTGTCCTGGGTGTGGGGATTATCCTTGCTTGTCACACTGATCCGACAGTTGTACTGACGGGGGTTGTCCTGGGTGTGGGGGTTATCCTTGCTTGTCACACTGATCCCACAGTTGTACTGACGGGGGTTGTCCTGGGTGTGGGGTTATCCTTGCTTGTCACACTTATACGACAGTTGTACTGATGGGGGTTGTCCTGGGTGTGGGGGTTATCCTTGCTTGTCACACTGATCCGACAGTTGTACTGACGGGGGTTGTCCAGAGTGTATGGGTTATCCTTGCTTGTCACACTGATCCGACAGTTGTACTGATGGGGGTTGTCCTGGGTGTGGGGATTATCCTTGCTTGTCACACTGATCCGACAGTTGTACTGAAGGGGGTTGTCCTGGGTGTGGGAGTTATCCTTGCTTGTCACACTGATCCGACAGTTGTACTGATGGGTGTTGTCCTGGGTGTGGGGGTTATCCTTGCTTGTCACACTGATCCGACAGTTGTACTGACGGGGGTTGTCCTGGGTGTGGGGGTTATCCTTCTTGTCACACTTATACGACAGTTGTACTGACGGGGGTTGTCCTGGGTGGGGGTGGGGGGGTATCCTTGCCTGTCACATCGAACCGACAGTTGTACTGATGGGGGTTATCCTGGGTGTGGTAGTTTCCCTTGCTTGTCACACAAGAAACTCACCTTGGCACCTTGGATGAAAATTGTGTTTCCTGGAAAACATGGAAACTTCTAAACCCGCGTTGTCCACTCGCGATATTGCTGTGTATACATTTAGCGTTTTATACAACGTCTATATGTCTAGAAGTCATTTGTGTGATCCCCACATGGGTACAATGTGTGAAGCCCATTTCTGGTGTCCCCCGCCGTGATATAGCTGGAATATTGTTAAAAGCGGCGTAAAACTTAACTCACTCACTCACTCATTTGTGTGAACATATCTTAGAACTGTCACAACAATTTCTGGTAGGTTTGCTCATTTCTTCAGTTATGCAAATACCGTGGCCTAAAGGTAACCTCATCACACCTTGTCCTTTACCCGTTTGAAATTAAGCCAATAACTAGCACTTATTACAGAGACGACCAAAATGGAAGGAATTGGGTGGTCATGTCATGTCATAATAATACAATCGACGGTTTGCCTGATCGAGTGAGCTTGGTTTTAAGCCGCTTTTAGCAATTGGCTTCACACATTGTCCCATATGGGAAATCGAACCCGGGTATTTGGCTTGACGAGTGATGGCTTTAACCACTAGGCTACCGCTTTGTCTCACCCTCAATGTTACAACCACTCGTTTGACTGGCCAAGGCTCATTGATATGCTGGTCACCTTTTAGGGTTGGATATTGCTGGCTGCGGCGTAAGACAATAACGTTTACTTAAAGGGGGCTCGGGTGGCCCAGCATAGTGTACGTCACCACAGTTCTCGGTTCAGGGTTGCGTCAGTGACGCCGCGTCTGGATCTGCAGACTGTGGGTTCGAATTTTAGATGTGACTGGAGTATGAATGCCATACCCGTGACCGTGTTAATCATTTCCGTTACTTTGGGACTTCTTCCAACATTTAGTACATAATTGAAATGCCGGTTATATTTCTCTCCTTTTCCATGTGTTATCGGCATTTAGAAGAGCGCACGATGTCCTGGTGTTGCTGGCTGCCCGATTTGGGTACTGGGCTGGTGTTTGGGGTGGTGCTGCTCCTGGTGTGGTGGTGGCGGCAGTCTCGACTCAGGAATCTCCCGCCCGGCCCCTCCGGGCATTTCCTTTTCGGAAACCTCAAAGACTTCGGCCTAAGACCAGAGATTAACTTCATGAAGTTTGCCAGGCAGTACGGACCTGTTTTCAAACTGTACTTCACAAACAGACTCATGATTGTCCTAAATGGATACGACGTCATAAAAGGTAAGACACAAGACTTAACCTTTGTTACAAAATATAGTTTTGCCATTAATCATCTTTGCATTAGCTGTATCGATGAATCATGAATGCATGTTGATGAAGATGGTGTCATACCAGTATTTTCGCTGTCTTGTAGAGGCTTTGGTAGGCCAGGCCGACGCCTTCGCAGGTCGCCCTTCCCTCTACATCAACAACACCGTAACTGGGGTGAACGGGTTGTCTCAACTGCCGTACGGGGAGAGACGGCTGAAAGAACAGCGAAAGTTTGCCTTCTCTTGTCTCAGGGAAATAGGAAGGGTGGGGAAGATCGAGCTTGAGGAGAAGATCGCCCAGGAGATGGAGGTGAGCAGGTTGTGGGCACCCGGGGCCTTCATTGTAGGTCTGTTAGAGTATGAGTCAGGTATGCAGCAACTCGCTTTAGCAAATTTACGTTTAACAGAGAGTGTACACGGACTGTCCAGTAGCAAGCAGTAGAGGAATATAGAACAAATGATAATACATTTTAGCTGTTGAGGTATCTACAAATACTGTGTTCACTGATAGGTGCTGTCATCAACATTCGACAAGATGAAGGGGGAGCCGTTCGAGCCTTACCCGGTCATCTTCAAGGGGGTCTCCAACATCATCTGTAACATTTGTTTCGGGTCACGGTACGTCTTTCTAACACACGTTGGGTTTACATGGATTAGTTATAACACACAACTTTGGTATGTGCTTTCTAATCTGTGTTTGGTCTTTGCTCATGCCTTCAGTCAGGAATATTGCTGACAGCGGTATTAAACAATATTGGCACTCACTCAGTAATCACTCAGTACTGTACACGGCTTCCCACAGGTTCGAGTATGATGACGAGCGCTTCCAGACGCTACTCGACACGTTCGACCAGGAGAAGAACCCAACCAAGAAGGCGGCGCTCGTGCAGTTCGTGCCATGGCTCAGGTTCCTCCCCTCCAACCGGAAGGTTCTGAACACGATCTATGACACGTGCGGGAAGTTTATAGGTGTGTGTTATCTCAGTGTTAGCGTTACAAGGTGGGATGTTGGTACTATTCCTATAATACATCAAGATCTTCACGGTACTGTGTTTGTGTGCATGCTTGCGTGTGTCTGTGTGTAATGAGGACGATGCGGAATGGTAACTCACCAATGGTAACTCACTGATGGTAACTCACTGATGGTAACTCACCGATGGTAAATCACCAATGGTAACTCACCAATGGTAACTCACCGATGGTAACTCACCAATGGTAGCTCACCAATGGTAACTCACCAATGTGTTTATTGCTTTCACAGATGTAATAAAAGGAATAGTAGAAGAACACAAAAAGCATTTCCGTCCTGAGAACGAAGTTTATGACGTCATCGATGCTTTCCTTTTGGAACAACACAACGCGCGGGAAAACGGAGATCACAGCACATCTTTTACAGGTACACATGTATATTAGACCTATATCCTTTCCTGAACTATTCACTGTGTTTAATCTCACCACACACACGCACGCACAAAATCACATGTAAATATAAAGAAGTTGCGTGTACAGTCCAATATAAATTGAATTTATGATTAACTTTGGACTCAGACTAACGGTGATGTGACTGGCCTGGATACCTGTAAGTCCCTTTAATCATCACTGTACGGGGCCGATCGTTTACACTTTGCGTCAGCATAAACCTGTTCCTGTGTCTGCAAATCACAGACTGAGATATATTGAACATATTGGCTACTTCTCGCTGAAATATTCCAGTTTGAAGCATGTCAGTGGCTCTGTCACGCGGCCTTTATCACGCTGGTCACAAAGAATGTAGTAAATATATCTCGTCACCTTGGATAATGAAAATCAACAAAACTAAGGTCCATAGTGATTTGGCGGCCTTTCTACAAAGTGTGAACATCAAGAAGGACCCCACTTGCACGACGGAACTGCAATGATGAAGGTCTGCAGAGATGATAGCTTCTGTTTTAGAAACCGTGTCATTTCCAGACGTCATTTTCAAAACCATTTCCGATCAGCCTCATTAAACAAACACCTACCATGTGTATATTCGGTCTTGTGCCGTGACACACAGGCTTTTAATGTCAGACAACAAGGCATTGCGCAGTCAGATAAGTTTGAAATAAGTCTGAATAAAATTTGAGGATTATTGACTTTGATTACCATTGAATAAGGGACTAGTCATTTACTATAGGGGTGGGGCTTGGGCTGGTCTTGGGAAACGAAGAACACCCTACCCCACCCCATCTCTAAAAAATGACAGTTCCATTATAATGTTATAATGTTCAAGATAGTGGAAATTATCATATGCACCCAGTACAGATGGGACAAGTTTTGGCAAACCATATCACTTATGTTTGTTTTGTACTATGCCCCGACTGCTGTCCCTTTGATCTGAGCCGTGGTGTATTGCATAGTTACACCACGATTTTGAGTTGCTTTCGACAGCAACTCTCTGATTGGCTCTTTGCAATTTTAGCCACGCCTACGTTTAACAAACATAACTGTCTGTCTCAAATGGATGTAAATCTTCAAAAAGACAACCAACATTTGTTTTACTCTTTGTTGGAAACATTGAATTACATCGGCAGCTTATGAGAGAGTGATGTCATCGATTGTATCAGTACTTTAGCACCTTCAATTTCGTTAACTATTTGTGACTATTTGTCTATAGTATTATCCCACTCGCGACTAGATATGGCGGCAGTCTGAAACCGAATGATTTTAAATTCAAATATCCCGCGCAGATTTCGAAATTAGAATGCAGAATGTGGGCGTGGTACAAAACAGTTTCTTCATCCAGTCACTCGAACTTGGTCTAAATACACCACGGTCTGGTCGCTGTCGATTGGTCGATGAATTTGCGTCTTGGGATATAGCCTACCCTCGACAATTCATCGACCAATCACCAGCTACAAGGCCGTGGTGCAGTTGGACCGAGCTCATGTATTAGAACGAAGTTACTACTACAGAAATGTAGCAGGCATGAATGTGGTACTTGCACTTTGATAATACACTGGGTCTGTTAATAGATGACCAGCTCAACTGGTTCTTGGGAGATATGTATATTGCCGGAAGTGAGACCACCACGCGGACTCTCGTCTGGTCTTTGGCGCTCCTGGTGGCCCACCCAGAAGTTTACAGACGCATACAAGCAGAAATCAGTGACGTCATTGGCGATGCACGCAATCCGAAAATGAGTGACCGACACAAGATGCCATATATGGGTACTTATGATTTTATGGTATTGTCATGGAGCTACGTTTACAGATTAGTGGTACATTGGTGAAAGTCGTCCTAGCCGTATCATTCGTTTAATAAGGCTAGCTCTTTATGCTCAATTTGTGCCAAGTACGGCGTTACACAAAGAAACATTACTAGTTTTTCAGTCGTTTCAAAAGGTTGAGTACAGCAAGTAAACATGTCGTAACTTTTGTTCGGGTGCCATCTTCACCATGCAGGCCTGATTATGAGGAAATTATCATTTTTCGAGATATGTTTGTATCTTGTTTTCACTTGAAAGTTAGTATTACTGACAGTAATTGGAAATTTATTGAAATTTATTGAAAATGTATCACTTTGCGACTTTTCTTATTTCAGAAGCAACTATACTTGAGATCCTGCGCTACTCAACAGTGGCCCCGTTAGGTAATTGTGCAAGTACAGATTGCGATATCACGCACACGCAGGCTATTACACACACAATCACACACAGACACCATGCATTAACTGACTGAAACGCATAAATGCCCATCCATATGCCGTCACCCGTTGCATGAACAACAAACAGTTTAGTTGATAGTTGTATGACTGACCGACTGAGTTTGGTTTAACGCCGATTTTAGCAATATTCCAGCAGCATCACGGCAGGGGACACCAGAAATGGGCTTCACACATTGTACCCATGTGGGGATTCGAACCCGGGTCTTCGGCGTGACGAGCCAACGCTTTAACCATTAGGCTACCCCACCGCCCCGATAATTGTATGAACAACATACAGTTTAGTCGAAAGTTATATGGACATCAAATAGTTTAGTCGATAGTTGTATGAACATCTAATAACAGTTTAGTCGATAGCTGGTTGAAGATCAAACACTTTAGTCGAAACTTACAAGCACAACAAACAGTTTTGTCGAAAATTACATGAACAACAAACAGTTTACTAAAGAGTTACAAAAAACTAATTGTTTAAGAACCACGGTAAGGTAAGACAGAAAACGGTTGTGTAACAGATGCAACAGTAACACACTAGTCATTCAGTGGGTCAATAACGTAAGAGTGTGTTCGTGTTGTGGTTCGTCACATTGTACCTCTCACGGGAGCTGTGTATTCACATTTAATTGTATTGCCTTACAGCTGTTCCTCATGCAACGACGCGTGATGTTCTTATTGACGGCTATAACATCCCTAAAGACACCTTTGTGTTCCTCAACCTGTGGTCAATCCACCACAGCGCCCACACGTGGGCAGAACCGAGCAAATTTGACCCCAACCACTTCCTGGACGCAAATGGTCAGGTGTGCAGACCAGAGGCCTTTATGCCCTTCAGTGGAGGTACGTGGAGCGAGCGAGTTGGTTGATGTCCATTTTGAAGACAATATCACTTGTATCCTTACAGTATTAGAGTATGTAAGCCCACACAAGGTGATTACGAAATGAACTGTTCATAATCCCAGGTAAGATCTGACTACAAGGGAAGTCTGTATGATATACATCAACTAGTTTTGATGGGTGTAGTTGCCTTCTCTTTGGAAAGTGTTCCGTTTCAAATGACCATTATACTCTTAGGTGAGGTGAAATTGGGTTTAACGTCGTGCTTGAGAATAGTTCGCACATATGACGACGTGTATGCGTGTGTATGTGTATGTGCGGCTGCTTGTACTAGCCCAGATTTAAGCTGGTTTTATAGTGCTAGCCCACTGAGATACCATGCCGCAGTGAAGCATGAATACCCCACTCAGACACATTATACTGACTCCGAGCCGACCAGTCCTTGTTGTACCCATTAATGCCGAGCGCCAAGCAGGGACCAACAAGTACCATATTTTAACGTCTTTTGGTATGACGCGGTCGGGGATCGAACCCGCGACCTTCCACTCTCCGGGCGGACGCTCTAACCACTACACCACGGAGGCAGTCGGGGATCGAACCCGCGACCTTCCACTCTCCGGGCGGACGCTCTAACCACTACACCACGGAGGCGGTCCCATTATACTCTCAAATAGTGTAACCAAATCATTGATTCTCGTAAGGAACACTGTTTCGTCTATTGTAACAGGTGCCCGTGTGTGTCCTGGGGAGTCTCTGGCTAAGATGGATACCTTCATGTTCCTTACCTGCCTCATGCAGAGGTTCAGCTTCGGCCTCCCTCCGGGGGCGGACCCACTAAAGGCTGTACACAGTGATCTAGGCACCGGGCTGCCTCCGCCCTTCAAACTCACGGCAGAGAGACGGAAGTGACCAGGAAGCCATCTCGTCAAGGAGCTGTGATGAACATGTGACCGGATATGTGTGGGATAAAAGTGTAGTGAAGCCTTGTACTGAAACAGTGAACTCCTCCAACAAACCGCGAGACTATAAAAGAGACATGAAATATACAGCTGAGTAGCCAACTAGCGTGTGTTAACACATCAAATACGCCAAAATATGTTCATTAACATTCCCAATGACATTGTCATTGTATCCTGGATGACGGTCTTCTGACAGTTCCTATTTGGGTTGAAGTTATGATCACCCAGTGTCATGAATGTCAGCAACAACTGGAAATGGGAAGAACTCCATTGCTCCAACAAGAATAATGAGTGAGTGAGTTGGGTTTAACGCCGCTTTTACTTAACGACATCCAGTCACAAAGAGTACTGGATGTGTCATTAGGATCAAACAATCAGTCAGGGACACTGATGTGGTCTTGGGTGCCATGTAAGATGTGTTCAGGGAATAAAGGCTTAACGCCACATCTGCCATGTTGCAGGTATTGGTGGCGTAGTCCGAGAAGATGCCACGTTAAACGTTAAGTGACGAGTGAGCTGACATAGGTTGTTGGTTGTTGTTCAGACATGCAGGAGCTATGGGAGCTCTGATTCAGGAGAGAACAGAGAGTAAATACGTGTATTTGTTTTATTTATTTCTTATCTATTAAGTCATTTTGGTATGAATCAACGTATATGTCCACCATCACAAAGCAAAGCATCTGTCCAAAAGCAATGGATGTTGTCTGCTTATTTGACTCAGGACAATTGTACAACTTATCGCCAAAAGAGGGATCAGGTTTCATGTCAGGAAACCTGCACCAAGATTGGCATGCTCATAGATATGTTTTTACATCATGGAAGTAACAATTACCCTAAATTCAGACGACAATGAGTCAATTGTATTGTCAGCACACATCCAATAATGTTCATGTCGGCAGGTGATGTCATGAACGTCGCGGTCATGGTGTAACGGCATTGACGGCAGTCAGCGGCTGGTTGGCTGCAGTATTCATGAATGGTAATTTCATTCTAAAACGATTTCGTCCTTAGATACACATTTTCAATTAATATTTTCTATTCGAAACTTAAACCATTAGCAGTTTGGGAAAACGAGACAGGGGTGGCCATAAAAATACAATTACAACGCACATGCTTACAACACCTTGCAAGAACTATACGTGAACACACAGAAGGGTGCATTCGTGTCCGGATTCATTCTTTCACTTAATCACTGTAACAGTTAATACTACACTCCTATACATTCGAAAACACCTTTCCTTTGTCGTCCTTTCCTTTCTCTTTTCACGAATGGCTAACATACATGACATGTGAACTATTGACAGCGTGTTGGCAGTAGTCGCTGAAAGTGTACGGTGTACTGCAAGAATATATATATCATACAGTTTAACGTTTGCTAAAGGTTACCACTTTTCAATATGCCAAATTTTGTGAATCAGTCGAAAACGAATGAGCATATATTGTGTGAAGACAGGTTAATAAACAAAAATTGTCGTCATGTGCCTGTCAAATCAAAACAAGACTATGCGTCCCCTCATACTCCCAATACGTGTTACCAAGGTATTGTTCGACTCTTCAGTAATAGAACTTCCGAGATCCTTACGAGCTGCCTGAAGGACAGCATGTTTGAGAAGATCTTCACCTGTGTTGGATAGGGATGAGGTCTGGTGACAGGGCTGCATGCTACTCAATGCGGACACTCATAACATTATTAGGTATGAAACACTAGCACGATCAGATCAAACAGGGACATCAAGCAATGCAGACAGGAATCAAGACGTTTTCGTAGCATTACGGCAAGTACAACTCTTTACCTTATGTGGGCAGGATTCCAGATGTCAAGACGGCTGTTGTTGGCATGTGTAAAGTAGGAGGTAAGCGCATACCTTATTATTTTATGAAGATTTTCTGTAGCTGCAGATTGAGACGAAATTACTTCTGCCATTTTCTTGAAGGGGTAGACATGGTTAGAGGATCACAATTTGGAACCAGTTTCTTCGGGAAAGGGTTCTCCCTACATCTCCAGCAAGCTTTGTGATGGTCCACCATAAATTGGAATTCAGCCCATGACTTATATAAGTTGGATGAGAGACCGGGACGCCATGTTTGTGGCTCGAGCAAAGGCCTTACTAGTACATATACTTGCATGCGTATCAGCAAGTGTTGAAAGTTGACTTTATATCAAGTAATCTTAATCTTGGTTCCAAATCGAACTGAGATTAACTGCCTGCCTTGACAAGAACTAGATGCTTATTGGTGGTATAATTATCTTGACAACTGGTCGTCTGTAGTTGACACTGAAGATGACTTAGGCTTGTGTGAATACCAGATTTAAGGCAATCATGACCGACTGACTGAGTATGGTTTATGCCGCTTTAAGCAAATTCAAGAAATATTACAGGGAGGGACATGGCAATCATGAAACAAAGATCAAGGACATATATAATGCATAAGAGTTATAGGTTTTCGGAACACATAAGCATAACAAGGGATGCAACCCATCCCCCAGGATGAAAGAGACAATGAAACAAGATATGTACATGTTGAATCATTTATTGATGACATGATCACAAGGTTTACAAATATACATTGTCTGTGATATATCCATCTTCAGTTACATAATCCCACCACATGTCCACAAAACGCAGACATTTACAGGTCTCAAGGGACTATCTGTTCACAATCCTAACACTTCAGTGATATACATTTTCCACAGTCTAGTGTTTTAAGAAGCTGGCTTTTCTCATGTCACCAAGTATCAACATTTCAGATGATTTTGATCTTAGTAAAGAAATGCACAATATCTGATTTGGAGTAAAAGCACTGTGCACATCTAGACCTGTACATGGCTACTGAATCTATACATACACAATAAATACAGTATGAAAGCACATGGCTTTGTTCTGAACCAAACACTGCTGATGTTATCCCCCCTAACTTCTTTTGAGACAAGACAGTGAGAGGTGCAACAATACAATGGGCAAGAGACTGTTACATACTGTCTGCACTTACAACAAAACAATTGTTATTTAACAAGGATATTGTATTCTCAACCCAAAATGTGTACTTTGTTGGTTAATTCAGTATCAAGACAAAGCTAACCTGCAACTCATAGTCGTCATGAAAATGAATGAATAATTTGTATCATGATATGGGTCTCGAAAATTCTCCACAAGATGCCAGAATCCTGTTTAGAATGGACAGGCTTGTACCATCAAATGATACTGTATTGTTACACCAACTTACACCCATCTACTCAACATTACTGCTACATGTGTAGGTAAATCATGGTCAGCCTGAATAACTTGGGACACATCATGCTACCATCTTAACTATAGCCAACAGGGATACGCTTGAAGAGTATTAACTTACCCATAATATCAAAGCACACACTGTGCTCATAAAGACACACATTTATCATTAGTTATCCCAGCTTTTGATTTTGACAAATGAACACAATTCATTAGTAATAACCAGACAACTGGAAATCCTATATTCACGGGAAGAGACAGCTCGACATGTCTCGCTGAACAAAGATCTGGCAGTCATGATTTTGATGAGCACAAAAAAAATGTTTCATTAACAACACATTTAAATTCCTACATAAGAAACAACTACAAACACAAGTATCACATTCACAATAGGTGGAAAACACAGAAGTAACAATTGGATAAGATATTTTCAGATGAAGTCATAACACCCTAAGCTAAACAGTGTAATTATGTACAGCAAAAAGGATGTGTATTCATTAACCTCTTACTTCAAATTTGATATTATCAGAATGTATTTCTTACATGAATTGTTTAACAAGTTAGTCTATATTTCAGAGTGAAAGGAGATTCCTTTTCAAAAACCACAATTTCACATCATTCAAAAACAGTTATTTTTCATAACTGTGCATATCAAACCAGGGATTAACCTAATCAGGACTGAAACAAGAGCATTGAAAACATCATATAGACTGTTACCATGGTTACAGCTACATTATCCTGATTATATACAGATAAATTATAAGAATGAATATACAAGTGTAAATATTCACACAAATAGTGCACTGTAAAACAGATGTGATTAACCACAGAGTCAGTGACAAAAGAGAGTTGCCAAAAGGTTCAGACATTTGATGCAAGAGCTGACTGAAACCATACAGTGTTAGCATTTAGTTCTCACATGACATATACTTCCTGCAATTCTATCACATCAGATAGACAGAATATTCTGTCGTCAGTACAAAAAGAACATTAGGCATGTTGTAAATTCCCAACGTAAAATAAGGAACCATGTAACATGCTTGTATCTTCTACTTGAGAAAGTGGATACCAGAGAGTGTGTGGTTTAACCACAAACACACAACTACATACCATCATTAGACCAACACATAAGGGAGACCACTTCTACTGGAATAGAAAACGCCATGTGACCAGGACATTAATCACAGTGGCATCTGATTACACTGCTGTACTTTGTGAACACAATTACACCTTAAACATGTCAATCTACATGTCCCCTGATGGATAAAGACTTGCAAACTTGTATATGGACATGTATATTACCTGACAAGCCTCTTCCACAAACAGACGAACTGGGTACACCTTAACTCAAAGCACCTGACTTGTCTCTAGAACTATTTACAAAGCACTCTACTTCACATTCCTGTTACTCTTTACATGGTGAATGATCTGCTCCACACTAGGTCGGCGTTCCTGCCAACATTGCCGGAATGACTAGCCACATAACAGACTAGACCCTTCAAAGTCAATGTCTAACAATCACGCTCAGTGTACCAATGAGGCTCTGTAGGCTCATGCTCACTACATCCTGTGGTTCCCAGCACACTCACATGCATAAATATATATTACAATCAACTATGTACATTATATGTAGTAAATGGGATTGGGGAAATTACAGGGAAAGTTTTTGGTTACATCCAGCGCTCACTTCAAGGGAAGACTGCTTTGGCTGTGACTGCACTGATCCTTGTTCAAATGTTCTTATAGTATGAACCAATATCATATATTGTCCATCAACTTCCTTATGATACATAATTGTAGATTGAAGTAAATGCCAAAGCAAAGGCATATATACAAAGCCAAAAGTAAATAAATTGTTAAATTAAAAACTTACTATATATGTTAATCATAAATATTCAACATCTACACAAAGCAGTCAAACATGAATGGTGATCGTTTCAGGTCAAGATCAAATGAACAACCAGTAATGATTGGATGCCTTGACCAATGAGCATGCTGTTGCTGGGTGATGCTAGGGGAGTGAACGTTGCATCGTCACATCAACAGCATCCACTGCTTGATTTCTGCTCTGGCTGTTCATCGTCCACCACTACTACACTCTTCCGTGTGTTTGTCCCTGTCTTGCTTCGACCTAACGTGTCAGTGCCAGACTTCTCAATCATACCTGCACAAAACACACAATCGACTACGTGTCTCATGCAATTTCTTTTTTACATTACTATACTTAAGGCATCAAAATATGCATCAAATGAAACAAAAAACAACAAATTGCTTTTATGTATCATTGTTGGAAATATCAAGGAACAGTAACTCTGGTTTAGTTTCTGGCATCAGAATCAACATCTTTCATTCAAGACTGAACAAATTGTACCAATATGAAATTGAGGAACTAAGGTAACTATCCTTACGTTTTGAAACAGTTATAGCAGGCTTATGATTGTAAGTGCAATCCCTTCATTTCACAGATTCTTTGTTTAAACAAAAGGACACAATCCTAAAAAACAAAATGCATCAATATTGCCAAATACAAATTATCAAAACATATTCAGGCTACTTGGATCTTTTTAAAAAACAACAACAACAACATAATTCTGTTTTATTCATGAAGTTTGGTAGATTCTATTGGTTTTGATGAAGCAGAAAGTCATATTGATTCCATAAAAGTAGGTGCTCTTACACTGTAACAACACTCACAGATGGGAGTAATTGATAACTCCCTGCCTTGGCAAAATACTTGATCTGGTGTAATGTCACTTATGTATCCATGTCGCAAATGTACTCACCTTTACTTAAATCCAAGAACATCTCTTCAATACCCTTATTGAGTTTAGCTGATGTGTGAAAGTGTTTAGCACCCACTGATGCTGCATATCTGAAAATAGAACATCAAATTTTTTATGTTCTCAAGCAAAAATACTGTTGATATATGGGAGGGAAATAACAAAATACACCATTTCTTAGCATGATTACTACCTGCCCTCTCTTTAGGCATAACAATGAGTGGGCAATCTAAAGCAAGCCACTATACAAATTAGTGAGATCGAACTTTTACCCCACCCACCCACACAGGTACAGGTGCACTTCAGGACAGGTTAGCTGCAGGCAGACCAAAATAAAATATTCTTCTAACAGTGTACAGCCTCTGTGCCTCGGTTAAACAGATTCAGATTCATTCACTAGGTATCCTGTACTAAAGTACTGTCGGAAATAGAAAAAACTTGTTTTTAGGCTGTTACTCGGTATCCCTAAAACTGACAAATTTACGAATAGCATATATCAAAATAACCCACATCAACCTAACGGGCATTCAGTGGGATGCGTAAAAGTATATCCAGAAAAGCATGTTTATTTGTAAAATCGGGCAAAACTTAGAAAAAATACGAGAGCTGCTCAAAATAATAGATCGGACAATAGATGGCAATTAGGTCGCTCAGCCAGGTATCACGAGGCACCGTCGACTCACCTGGCATGAAATGCACGTCCTGCCTACAAGCACAAGGGGTCATCTCAAAGATATTTTATGCTTTTTCATGTGTGTTGAATATGTCTCATCTATTGATCATAAAGTTTATGTTGAGATACGTAAAAGGGTATTATACCTATGGAAAAGCTTAAATCAGCCATCGTATTAAATGTCTCAAAATATATAGGTGGCATGACCACCCGAAGATCGACAGGACTGGATATTATTTGTAAATTGTTATGACATGCCGTTTGCTTCCCAGTTTAATTTCCCTAAAGGATTATCTTATCTCAGCTTATATCTCTATACCCCAGCCCGAACCCAACCACCGTCAGCAACACCCGTCCTGGATTTGCTTTTGAGACGACCCCTCCTACCTGTTTCTTTTTATAGTGATAGTGAGACTCCATGGCAGCTACATCCTTCATAGTTTAAGTATTAAAGTTACTATTTTTTACGTCAGCTATCGTTTATAATGAAGCTAAGTTTAATTTCAAAATGGACATTAAAAAAATTGTCCTTTGTAATATAATATCATCGCACACTTATTTGCAAAAAGCCATGGCCTGTTCCAAATAGAAAAACCCGCATTTCTCATTTCTGCACTAATCTTTCCTCAGTAAAGTCCTTTTTCTACGTTTCCTATCTCCCTACCACTGAGACTGTAGTTAGGCCAAACTTAGTTTAACAAATTTCACACTTACACATATTAACTACATAAATTGTAGATATCAATGCGAAAAAACAGTATTTTTCTATTTCCGACAGTACTTTAGTATACCACAATTTGAATAACCACTGCAACGATACATAAGCATGGGTAGAAGGATTTTACTCTGGAACCAGCGAATAATTAGGTTGATTAACTCACGCCTCGGCATCCGCAACAGGAACATGTCGCTCCTTCTCTAAGTCTGTCTTGTTGCCAGCTATACAAAGAGAAACATCATTTCCAAGCATTCGGCGCAGTTCCTTCACCCAGTTCTTAACCTGCAGAAAAAACACTCTCACATAAAACTTCTCTACTAAGCCCTATGTAACATATTTAAACACAAGCATTGTCACTAAGGTGACATAATCCCCGCGCCGCAAATGATCAAATCAAACTTATAAAGTAATGAAAGTTTAAGATGATGTTAAATGTCAACAAAAACATGACCAGTCAACCTCTCTTGATATCTTGCTCCTTAGTTGTTCAAACACACACATATTTTCAAGACTGACTTTGACCTTGACATGAATGTCATAGTCAGTGTTCCCGTTCTCCGGTAATTACCGGTTTTTTACCGATAAATATTGTGATGATCCAGTATTTTCAACTGCCGTCGGTAAATTTTGTATTGCTTAAAGTCGCCTTTTATCGGTAAATTTAATAAAATTGCAGTTAACAACGTCTTGGCACATCTAAATATAGACTCTAGCACACTGCGCATATGCAGATCAAGCCATGCCATGTGATTGGCTGATAAAGACATTCCCACATGACACTGTCCTTCCTGCTATCTATTTATAGCTGCACCACATGGTAATCTTTACGCGCATAGTGAAAAATATGGATTCCAGTTGTAAAAAACAGTGTACACTGACAGGGTTCTTTTCGGGAGAAATAAGAAGCAAAATGAAAGTCAAACATCTAATCCAGTGGTTAATAGTGTTGGGAATTGGTTGAAATTTCACAACTGATGATTGCTTCATTACAAACGAACAATCATCGAAAGAAATTGGTTAGCATCATTTTTCCAGACTTTCCTATCCAAGTTGTTACTGCTGATATGTATAACATGATGCAACTTGCTACTTTAAAGTGATGACTAATATATCATGAACATAAACTTCCTGGAGTCTTAGAGAAATATTCAGTCATGACTTTTCAGTTAGTGAAGTGAGTTTTCTAAGAATTAAACACGTTTTCAGGCCCTGACAACTTCTTAGATATGTTCCATTGTCAAGTGTTGCAAAGACTAAACAGCAGTTCCAAAATCGTTTATGTTCGATTATGAGAAAATGCGATCAATTGCTTGGTCGTTTGGTCACTGCGACCAATCTTCGATTATTTTAATTAATCGGAACACCACTAGTGGTTAAGGGTACAGAAATATATGGTGATGTTTTTTCCATTTTGTGACATGTCATAACACCCCCGTGCCTTTTTCTTTTATATTTTCATATTTACATAATGGGAAAATTATTATATAAAGATATCTTAAATAATATGTATGGTCGCCCATTTCCCGATTTCAGTGGGATTCCACTAACTTTCTGCTAACATGACAACAGTGGAAAATACCTCCGTTGTTGAAGCTTCGTATGAATAACATGCGAGGCGATTCGCTTGATGGCAGGTCTGAACATCAACAATATATCACTGTACCCTTGGCGAGAGTATTTTCACAGTTGTAAAGAAGCGGTTTTATTGGATAAAGATTGGTTTCTAATGATGCTTTTTCGCCACAGTCTGCTATAGGGATCGTGATTGGTTAAAATCAGGCACGTGAGCCAAGGCAGCCAATCATATTACAGCAATGTATACTGTCCTCGTAAACGAAAACTTTTAGATTTAGACGAAAGTTTTGGGTAAAATAATGGTATTCTGAACGCATTAAGCAAGCAATCGCTACCTATACATAAATTACGGAATTTATTGGACGTATCCTGCTATGTGATGACCTGTGACAAATATGCTTCATGCATGTATTTCTGCATTAAATAGCATGTCCGAGCATGAAGATTGAGGCGGCAAAAGCCGAGATGTCACTTGTCAGTGATTTGACTTACATTACATGATCGCACAAAAAGATGGAAATAGTAATTTATAGGTACGCTTGACAACTTTTATGAATGCTGTTGTTGATTTTATTCATCAGTTTATTCAATTTATTTAATGACATTCTGAACACATTTATTGAATTTAGCTGGATCGCTTTCATTTTCTGTCTCAGCATGGCATCGAATCGATAATTGTAATGTAGGTCTAATGAACATATTCTCGAAAAACAAGCAACACACAGCACACTTTTCAACACATTTATTAACAGTACAGTGAAGCCCCGATAATCCGGATGTCTCGGGCTCCCGGACGATTTTAGCTTGTTACCAATCTATGCCTATTTAATTTGCCTCGATAATCCGGAAATTCGGTTTCCAGAACCGGACGGTAAGTAGCTGTCACCAATCAGTAAAATAAACAGTAAATTGCTTCACAGTCCGGATGCTGTAAGTCGTGTTCACGAACCATAACAACAACCCCGGCGATGTTTACTTAACTGGCCATAAACAATAAAAACTCGGTGTCATGGAGTTGACAAGATGAACTCTTGTTAACTTTTGAGAAATGTCTATTAAGGGTTGTTGTTTAAATTAGACATTAAAAGCTCCCGACTGAAGATGCCGTACATTTACACTTTGATTGACACCTCAATACAAAGGCATGGATGACAAGTGAGCTGTTTTGTGATTGGTTAATGTACTTTGACAGACAGATGCGGTCACGTGGACTTAAAGTGATTTTGCTTCTCGACAACGCTAACTTTGCAAAATGTGACCAAATACCACATCTCATATTCAACCGATGGATGCAGGAATAATTCGGACATTCAAGGCATACTACAATAGATCGCTTGTTAGACATTACCTCACCTGTGCTGAGGAAGGATGTGATGAGACACATCGGATCAACATGCGGATGCCACTCGGTAAAATTATTGATGTGATGAATTAAATGAGGAAGGTTAAACGAACATAAACAACAATGAAAGACCCCTTTTGCTATGACTATATTATTGTTGTACTTGCTATTCATCGTTTTATAAGCTTTACATTAAATGCTTATTTGTTTTATCCAGATTCGTGTCGTTTTTGTAATAGTAAGGGAAGCAACTCTTGCTTGAACTTGGGTCTTGATTCAGTAGTCCGGTCTATTCGCAATCTGGACGAATTTGCTGAGAAACGCAACCGTCCGGTTAACGAGGCTTCACTATATATCATTATGAATACTGATTACTTTGTCTCTCCGGATAAAAACTAGTTCAGCCGTAATTTTCAGACCCTATCGGCATAAGCGGCCGGTAATTTTCCAAACCACCGGGAACACTGATAGTGTAAGAAATATGCAAAAATAGTACTAAAGAAATTGCTTATTGAAAAATATTCATGGGAAGTCTTGAAAGTCTATGAAGAAATCCAGTGAACCGTTCGTGAAATATGTTGCTGACAATTCAGGTTAACATGCTGAAATCTTCAAAGTGTCGTCATGACCCTGAAAAGTATGTGAAGGTCACCACAATTGACTGGCCCCTGGGCCTTCCCTAGATGAAGCTTGGTGTCAAAATTGAAAAAAATCCAGTGAATATTTTTTGCGATATCTTGCTGACTATCTTAACATGCAATTTAACATGCTGAAACATTCAAAGTGTCTCTGTGACCATGAAAATTAAGTGAAGGTCACCAAAATCGACTGGGCCCTGCGCCTTCCCTGGATGAAGCTTGGTGTCAAATATGAAGAAACTACGGTGAATGGTCCTTGAGGTATCTTGCTGACAAGCATAACATGCAGGTTAATAAGCTGAAATCTTCAACGTGTCTCTGTGACCATGAAAATTTAGTGAAGGTCACCAAAATTGCCTGCGCCTTCCCTAGATAAAGCTTGGTGTCAAATATGAAGAAAATCCAGTGAACGGTTCTTCAGATGGCTTAACATACAGGTTTACATGCTGAAATCTTCAAAGTGTCGCCATGACCTTGAAAATTATGTGAAGGTCACCAAAATCGACTGGGCTTGGTGTTGAATATGAAAAAAAATCCAGTGTAATGGTTCTTGAGATAGCTTAACATGCAGGTAAAACGTTAAAGTCCCCTTGTGACCTTGAAATGAAGGTCAAGGTCACTAAACCTGACTTGGACGTTTCTTATACTGTGGTAAACCTAGGTACCAAATATGAAAAGAATCTAGTGGACGGTTCTTAAGATATTCCAATTCGTTCGTGAGTACGTACGGCAGACGGACGGAGCCTAATACTATATTCCCCGATTTGAGTTAAACGTGCGGCGAGTGATAATAATACATAACATATTCAACAAAGTGGAACAAAGATAACACTACAGTCCAGTAAATATATATCTGGTCAACACAATATATGAATTAAACAAATACCCCTTCAATAAAAATACCTTTATTTTGGCCACAAGCATTTCTACATGATTTGCAGGTTTAGATACCGACTGCTATATACCTGATGCAGGGCATTTAAATGAATAAAATAAAAGAGCTATTTTGCAAGTCTGGACAAATGTACATAAACAGGAGGAAAACCTGCTAATGATACCTAAACTAAATCTGGTCTTGAAACATATCACTTCCAGCACTACTCTCATTGTGAATCTAATAACCAAGTTAAGAGCAAACCGTGAACCCCTATCCTGAAACGTGGGTGGTCTTTGAGCATGGGGTGTGAAGAACTAGTGCAATATAATTATAGCAGTAGTACTAGTAACAGCAGCAGCAAAAAATAGTACTAACCTTCTGAAAGGAATCTTCATCTGTGATGTCATAGACAAGGATGGCTCCATTACTGTCTCTGTAATAGATAGGTCCCAGTGCATGAAACCTCTCCTGACCAGCAGTGTCCTGAAGACGTGGAACATAAATATTGATTACCATAAAGCACATAAAGTGTCAACAAGAACACCTACTGCAAGTCCAATGAAAACAAGAAGACAAAGTCATCAATATCCCCCGCAATGGCAAAATACTCTTCATGATTATGTCTACGAGTTACGATTATGTCAAATATTTAGGTGTGTATATAGAAAAGTGGAAGGAGTGTATTGAAAGGTTTTTTAAAGTTCTGCTCTAGAAAGGAGCACTATCACCTATTTCAGTCTATGTCAAACTTGTTGCCATGGAAATGCCAAAAATACTTTATTCAGAAATCCAAAACTACCAAAAGGCACCAGTACACCACCAGATCTATGTATGTGCCAAGTTTGGTGAAGAAACATTGAACGGTTTTAGAGTTCTGCTCCGGAAAAGTGCACTACCACTAATTTCTGTTTTAGTCAAACTTGTTGCCATGGAAACGCCAATAATATTTTCTTCAGAATTCCAAAACTACCAAAGAGGAAGCAGTACACCACCAGACCAATATATGTGCCAAGTTTGGTGAAGAAATAGTGAACGGTTTTAGAGTTCTGCTCCAGAAATGAGCACTACCACCAATTTCCGGCTAAGTCAAACTTGTTGCCATGGAAACGCCAAAAATATTTTATTCAGAATTCCGAAACTACCAAAAGGCACAAGTACACCACCAGATCTATCTATGTGCTAAGTTTGGTGAAGAAATATTGAACGGTTTTAGAGTTCTGCTCCGGAAAAGACAAATGTGCACAGACGGATCGGAGTCCATTTTAATATCCCCAGCAAAGCGCGTTGCGGGGGATAATGAATATTTTTTTTAATCCCTGAAAATAATCAGTGTTGTCTGTGACTGGACACAGGCCAATATGCTTTTCTCAATTCTTAATTTAATAATGATACATGAAGAAATGGCAATGTAAGGGCCAAAACACACATTCCATATTGTATGGCTGATAATTCTATGAGCATCTTTTTGACACATGGATAAAATGCCAACTAATTTCTATGTGGTACTGTAATCTGTGTGTCCCTTCAAACTTTGTCCTTCGCTGGATCTGATTACACCTTTAGTGTCTGAAATTAACTCTTGCCCATTAGCCCCAGGCAAGTGGAAATGTTCTCAATCTTTTGGCCAACTATGATCCTGAAAAACAATTCTCAAAACATTTTAAAAACTGGTTCTCACACAATGGCTTTTGAAAAGAATTGGGAGGGCAGGTAGCTTTTCCTTTCTTTGTTTGTTCCCCCACTTTTTTAAGGGCCTCCCTGGATGTATTCCTTGATAAGCACAACATGATAAATTCAATCTTCATGTTAACCAGTGTTTACTATCAAGAGCAAACAAAAATATATTCATGCTTACCAGCTAGTTAACCAGTTTTATGTCCATATTAGATGCATATTTGTCACTTCTTAATGTTAGCATGGTTAATCAGCACATTTTCTTGACATAATTTTACAATGTCAATACAAAACAATGATCATAAAAGTTGTGATCATGAAAACATCTGAAAATACTACACGATACATGCATGGATTGAAATAGTGCTTAATTTGTGTGCCCTTGTAGTCAAAACTGAAATGGTGTGGATGAAATATTTACAATGTGCCCTCATGGCACATGATTTATATAGGGAAAATGCGATACATCTGATTAACTGAAATGATTTAATACCTATTTTTGCACCCCATCAAACTGTTTATCGGTTGCATTCTCAATCTCATAGCTGAACATTGGTGTGACCATTTTGAAAGCCAGAGGGCATAACAGGAAATCCTGTTGTGGATGATAACATAGTTTGTGGGTTAGTCCAGGACAGATGAAGCGGAACTACTCTTGCAGTCTTGATAGTATATAGGAAATCCATCTCTCAAATTTACAGGTTTACATGATGTTTACAAATTTATGTAAAAAAAATTGAAATGACATAAATGTTGTGATGTTTTAAGTGTAGCTGGATCATCAAAAGGTATGGGCACACATATTTTCACAAAGGCACACCTAAATTATCTGTCTGGAGCTCAATGGCACCCTTAAAAAAATTGCAATTCTGTCCCTGACATATATTGCTTTTGACATAACATGTTGAATATCTACCATTTTTAACTACCATTTGACTACCAGTGTGCCAATAATACATGCATACAAGCTTTGATTTGTTTCACAACCTGAATACATTATCTTATATACAGAAGGTAGCATGTCAAAACAATCTGTACTAGAGTATGTAAGTTACTGCTGTAATGCAGTCATCATGGTTATTACCCTCCCTGGCCATAAGCTTGCCCATTGTAATTTTATTCAAGATTTCATTCAGTATCTTTTACCATAATTATGGCGTAACTGTGTGAACAGATAGGCAAATTGCATCAACTAACCACAAACTGTCCTTGAAACGAACATCCAAAGTGGGGGCTTAGTCATTACAGACACCACTGTATGATATTTTCCTTTAAATTATGATATTGGACACGAAAAGTATTTTTAAAACTGCTTCACCAATATATTGGGAGAAACTGTACAACAACTGATCGCTATGCCCAACTATGTTACAAGACAAATACACACATAATCTAAAACTGCATATATCAAACATTGTTTGGCATTCAGTACACATACCATAGAATTTGTAAATCATCATGTCTAGTGATGTTTCATCACATAGTTTCATTGACCAAATTGCGATTGGCACAACAAACTCACAGTTAAGTAGTGTGCATACAAGGGGAAGTTACTACATGCTGTAACAGATCTTGTTATGTCTTGTACTGCAGCATTTATATGCTGGGCTCTTGTGTTTAAGATTTGGTTCATTACAACCAATCAATCATAGAAAATAATTGGTCAGCGTCATTTCTAAAGTTTTCCTGTTTATTTTTGTTTGCACCAAAACAAAGAAAAAATCCTGTAGTTCTTGGGGTTTGTTTTATCAAAGCACATCTTTAAAGGATGACTAATATGTTAGGAACATAGATTTCTTGGGGTCTTTAAGATAAATTCAATCATGACTTGGAACGAGCTTGTAGTGCTCATGAACTGTAACAGACAAAACCAACCTTGTGAAAAATATTGTTAATGCAAAAAGTGTTCCAGAAATGTTTGTGTTTGATTATCATATGAGAAATCATGATCAATTGCTTGGTCGTTTAGTCACTGTGACCAATCTTCGATTAGTTCAAGTAATCGGACCACCACTAGAGCACAGGGTTGTGTACTGCACACTAAGGGTTGTGACAACACTGAAAGAGCATGCAAGTAATGTTAATTCCAAGGTTTTTACACCCGGTCACAAGTGGGGATCGATCCGGGCACCTTTTGCTTATTAGCACAGTGCCTTAGATAGCTCACCCATCTTAACCCCAAGATGTGAACTATTCAACTATTTTTTGTTTTCTTAAAAGGAAATATACATGAAAGTGTGGCAGATGTTATGATGCAATATCAAGAATAAATTAAAAATCTAATAGGACTCTAATCTTCTTATGAATGACTACAGTTACTGGTCAGATGAGCTCACCCAGGACTCATTGATAATAAACAGGTTTTGCAAACTGATGGGTTACATACAGTGGGAAAGCCAAACAGCTGACATATGGGGTTAGTTAATAATGGAAAATGGGCTTACATTAGAGTAAAGATAAAACTATCTTTTATTACTTTTTTTGTTTATATGTCCTGGGCTAGTGAATTTTTACCAGGGTTAGTTAGTCACAAAAAGAACAAAACACTAGCTACAACATACAGTTTCCGCAGTATATTGATGTCATACTTTTAGTGGACATGATATTAAACCTATTATGATGCCAAGTCAAAATGAGAGAGTGGGTATGGTTTTACGACACTTTTAGAAACAGAAATAGGTTTCACACATTGTACCCATGTGTGGAATCAAACCAAGGTCTTTGGCATGATGGATGAACACTTTAACCACAAGACTACACCATTTAGTCAATAAGAAGGACTGCTTACCCATATTGATAGGTTTACTCTTTTTCCACCAATGTTGAGCTTCTTGTTAAGAAATGATGCCTGAAATACAATGTCAACACAGTGAAAGAACCATGCACTTGCATATACTTAGGAACCATTAAGTGATAATCACAAAGTTATAGTTCATAATTTCATATACAGTAGAATTTAACAATGTACTTATTAAGCATGACTTGTTTCTTGAAAAACACATTATCAAGCTTCAGATTACTGATTGAAAGTGGCATGTCAAGAATTCAATTTTGGTACTGTTAATTGTTAAAATACATACCTATCAAATTCAGATGCTAGAATAACAATCAATATCCATGTATTTAAGCAAACTGAAGAATGTATGCTGGAACTCTCTTATTATCACAGTCTCTCTATTATCACGGCACATGAAAACATGGGGAAGGCAGAAACACCATGCTCTGTATTGGCTGTTTACATATGCAAGTTCATCACTCTTGAAAAAGTGATTTATTTCACTGGAATGCCATGTCTCATCATAGAAATATTTAAGCATTTATCTTTGCAGTAAGTTCTGGAACATTTTGAAACTAGTATGACCCTTACCGCCATTGCATCTTGCATGAATCAAGAGTAATCCTGCGACAATGATAATATTAATAAGGTAATTTGCATATTTTCCATCCTAATATAACAGAAAGTGATGTATTGTGTCACTTCACCCTGCACACTGCAGCAAATTGTATGGCACGTTTTATGGCGGCAAAAAATTATTTTGTTACATTATTGTTACCTTGTATACAGTTGAATGGAAGTTTAAGATGTTTTGGTAAAAACATGATGATCGTAATGAACAAGTTGCACATTATTTGCGACAGAAATAAAAATTAAACATCAGTCGATGAATTATTTTTTTTATAAAATGCCAAGTGTCAGTAGGTGTTCATAATCCTGATAGCGACAAAATTAACTACCGAGATAATAAAAGATCCTATGATAATCATAATGTGCACATCAATTTTGGCCTGCAAAGAAATGTTCGTAACTACAGTATGTGATTCTGACAATAACTGTGGATATGTGTGAGTGTATTTGTTGTTTAATACCACATTCAGCAATACTGAAGCTAGGTCACTGTGGCCTTACAAGTTACATAAATGAGTTTTGACCAGACAATCCAGTGATTGATAAACTGTTAACATGGTTAAGAGCAATGATCCATGCCAAGAGATTCCTTCTAAAAATACGACACAGTTGATGTATGATAAAACAAATAGTTACCTGTAACGTTGTGATGTGCTTATCGTTGAATTTGTTTTCTACATATCTCAGTACAAGCGAGGTTTTTCCGACACATCCCTCTCCCAGAAGGACAACTTTGAAGTTGTAACCCCTACCTCCCCCACTTACACCTGCCATATCACCAGTTTGAGGGTATTAGATATAATATCAAATAATTCAAACTCTCAGCATGTGGTTACAAGAAAATCACGATGACGAGAAAGTTTATGTGAAGAGCTTCCTTGATGTTGAAGCAGAACACTCTGGACAAGTTATTGACATTTTCCGGAAAATGGCTCCCAATGCATGACGTCACACCGTCACGAGACCATGAAAGACATCGCTTACGCCCAAAAGGATGTTGTATTGTATGTATCAGCACTAATTGTAACATAGATATCTAAACATGTGTACCACTGACATCTCTTCATTCATAATGTGGCGTACATAACCATAACATTATCGATTATCATGTGTTGATATTTGGTGCATGGGGCTTGGCGGAAGTGGAAGTGATGACGTCATTCAATATTCACAACAACTCGTCACGCGAAAGACCGTCAACAAATTGCTCGCTCATTGAAATTATAGGATATGGCTTCGCATAAGGACCAGGTAAAATTCAGATACAAAAATCAAGACTTACTCACATTAATGCTCTGTACTGACATGTTAAAGAATCTTAATTGGATAATAACTGAAGGATCATTGAGAAAAACTGCTAACCTAGCACCTGCTCGTCATCTCAGTCACTGTCATGACTTCAAGTTCAACCCTAGACATCGTCTGGAGTTCCACCAGGACTAAACAACTGACACATACATTATATTAAGCTGATGTTAAAGTTGTAGTTACTCGTCTCCATTTAGGTGACCCAGACTTTAAGAATATGCAATCACAATATAATCTTTAAACATATTCAGGAAATAGAAAACATTTGTCCAAACATTAATCATATACATTTGTGCATGTGAGTCATTGTTTAGCCTTGTTGGTAGTGTTGTTTGTGAGTATTGCACTTTACCAAATACACTACTTTTAATGTCAGCTTGAAGCTAAACGGGGTAGCTAATGAAGTTTATACATCCTTAATGTGGAATACTTTATGGGTGTTATAATTGTAGTCTCAGGTTGTATGGTAATGATATTTTCTCAAAGAGACCTAAACATTATATGGTATATATTTATCTAAATGTAATGTCTCAAACAAAATGTAACTTTTGAAAAACACATAAACACATGATAAATGGACTGTGTAAGATATGACAGAATTTCTAGGATAGCTGCAAGATACTCGGAATAGGAGAGTGATCGACTTCATATGAGTCATATGACTGAGGTATATTAATGTGGTTTTCTTTATTTGATAAACACTGGCTAATCAAGTGATACCTTATCTGAATAAAAACACACACAGTCTTTCTCTTCAATTTGCATTCAATAGAAGACAAGACTGAAGACAGTTTACCCTGTGCAGTGCTTGCATTGATGGCTTACCTGTTCAGAGCTCAATGTTTTTAGTTTGAAAATTGAATGGGGCATGATGTAAGGGGTATAATATCACACTCTGAAAGTATCTCATGCATGATTTAAGATAACACAGAACCGGACATATCCCAGTAACCTGAAGGATTGTATAGTTGTGTTTGATTTGCAAGGTGTTCTCAACCCTGGTGCATCTCACACAGGTCGGCACATCGTAATGATTTCCATACATTGTACAACTTGTTCGGTGGTTGTAACGAACATCGACTAATCAATTGGCCACCTCTCATATGATTCGATCTGCAGATATTAGTGTCAATCTCGTAATATCTTGTGGTATTTTGTTCACATCTTACGTGCATCTCACACAGGTCGGCACATCGTAAAGATTTCCATACATTGTACAACTTGTTTGGTGGTTGTAACGAACATCGACTAATCAATTGGCCACCTCTCATATGATTCGATCTGCAGATATTAGTGTCAATCTCGTAATATCTTTTGGTATTTTGTTTCCATGGTGGTGACTTTGAAGCAGATTAAGCCATGTTTCATGCTTGTATGGAAACTTTAACCACATAACACCAAAACGCAATTTGATTGGTCATATCACATCCAACTTACCGAATAACTAGAACAGGCTCTGCACACTCGTGACACAATCAACGTGGTTAGAGCGGCCAATTTGTACCATTTGTTGAATTTGATTTATCACTCAGGCGATCTCGGTCGAATTCAGCATATCGATTTAACGGGCCGACCTGTGTGAATCCACCTTAAAGATTGTATTGGGTGCTTAATTGGAAAGGGAAGTAAAAAAAACCTTAGGACAGAATTGGGGATAATCAATGCTAAACCTTACACTAAACCAGAAAATCAATGTTAATGAGCTAGATCTATTCTATGCCTTTTAAACAGCAGTTTTAAGTATAGTGTAACAGCGTGCTGACCATATGTAGATGACATCCACCATCATTTATGTATGTTATGTACATGCTGTGCAAGGATCAGGCTGAAATAGCACTGAAATTGTCAGGGGATTTCACCATTTATTGGTAAATCGTACAACATTCAAAAGTGCAAGATATTTTCACATTGAACAGTCCCTGTTCATTCTCCGATCTAACATAATGTAAGCATTAAAACCATATTTTTTTATCATTTGAAATACATCTGTGGGATTTTAGGTATATTTCGTCTATTATGTAAGTGTGTGTGCAAGACTTATCGTTGAAAACAGAACCGAGTTACTATACATGCTATATACATGTGTTCTTTATCTTTCTTTGGGAGAAATGAATTATGGAAATAAACACTGATGCTTCAATAAGTTACTCTGTTGCATGTACATTCTTGATTTTTATCCTTTAATGAAAACTACACTTTTAAAACAACATATATAGCAATAACATGAAGACATACTTACCAAATGTTGAATCTTTAGTGATTATCTTACCAAAAGAATAAACCAGTCATGCTTTACAATCTGTATACCAGGGATTTACAGTCCTGTATTTGAGGGTCCCTGGGACTTATACTCAGGGGTCCTGGACAACAAATTGGGGGTCCCAGACACTTAAATATTATTATTAATACTGTTACCAGTACTGTATTGTGTATCATGATCATCACATTGTTACAGAAATTAAATTGCAAATAATACCATAACCCAGCTAGTTGCAAACTCAGTGATAACTTATTGTCACTTGATTGGAATTTTTACAAAAAAGAATTTGGACTTTTTATGAGTCCCTGTGGACTTGCTAACAAATTTTGTTACATCCATTTTTTTTTTAGGAGTATAGGACGCAGGAATTCGCATCCTGTAAATCCCTGGTATACTTTTCCTCAGACATTAACATTACATTGATCAATGTTACGATCTAAACATGACCTGTAATTGCATGTTCACAGCTAATCACTGAACCTGCCTGGCTACTCCCAAGTTAAGCATGAGTCAATACATAACATGTTTTATGGATAACAACTTCCTTTTATTCTTTATACGACGTTTCTAAGCTAATTCTTGCTCCTTCATCTGGTGAATCTGGCACCTGATGAGAAGCAGCAAGAATTAGCTCTGAAACATTGCATAAAGAATAAAAAGAAGTTGTTATCCATAAACAATGATAAAACGTGTCATGTATTCATATTCGTCCAACTTCTAAATGCCTTTCAAACACTTAAGCATGAGTGAAAATTAAAAGCCACCTGTGTAGTACAAATTGTTTGGCATCGTTTTAGGTTTGTTTTGGCTACTTTTGCAAAGGATCATGTCACCATTTGTTCACCCCTTTATGTCCTTACTCTCTTGTAACAAGTTGTACTGATTCTCATATGTTGTATTGTGTACTTCAGAAATGCGACTTTTTAGACAGAAAAGTCATGGTAACACCTTTTGTAGGTTGAGGTGCCATTTTCATATAGCAAGGTGCCATTATCACCAAACTGGTTCCCTTTTCACAATGAAATCCCAATATCATCACTGTTTGTTTTCCATGTTTATTCATATGCATTAAGAATTCCATAATCACTAGTTCTTTGGTGTATATACCTTTATAGGGAAAGGGCCAAACTTTATGAACCTCAGGGTTTTTAAATGTTCCTGTTTTCTACATAGTTATGTCCCTATTCTGTACATCTAAGGATGGATACCCAGTTTCATTTATTATGCTGAAGATCATGTTTACACTGGCAGCCTTACAGCAACAAGCTGTATCTCAATTCTCATGGGAATATTTTCCACAAAATGAGAGATGTCATGTGTGTATATATACTCAAATTTCTCCCCTTTAACATTGTTTGTGGTTTGGTTACAACAAAGAGAACAAACAAACTACACCTGGCTTCTGACTGGTGGCTGATCATGATAGTGTGACAGTCTAGATATAACATGGGTGTCGTGGTCGTGTTATCCAACTTATATACAGACAATCCAGTTTATTGCTCTGTGCTATATCTTCAGCTGATTATCTTGATGAGGGTAACAAGTTACATTATAAATGATATCAGACAAGTCTGCATAACATGTCAAGGTATGCTGGTCATATTGATAGCTGATAAGAATATTGAATTGGTCAGTTTCTGACCTTTTCAGGTCCTTTAACATGTTTAGATAAATCCATTTCAACTTCTTGCAATGTGTGTAGAAGTGGCAAACATTCTAACAAGTTAGGAACAACATGAAACTGAAAGTGTATACCATCAGCTTACTAATATGAATATTTATCATGCTTGTTTGGTATTCCAGTAATAAAAATAGTTGCAATAATCATTTAACATCTAAATATGAGTACCAATCCGAATAGGAAATTGGTAAATTAAAAGCCTGAATAATGCAATCACTACATTTTCAACTTTGAAGTGGTTGTGGCTAGTGATCCATGCATTGACTAGGGGATTACCTAGTTCTGTTACCAGTGGTTAATTGTAGACTGTAAGTTGATAAGAACTGAACACAATGAATGTAGAGCCAGGTTGTTTTTGTTAGTTTTCTCTATTAACAATATTACTGTGTGGTTTGATAAAATGTTGGTTCATTAAAAACAAATACTGTATAACCTCATTTATAACATGCTTTGAGTACCGTTAAATATGGCAAAAGCCAGGGAAAACACTATTCACATTTGAATTTGTGGCTTATTGTGTGGAATCTTGTTTTTTTATTTTAGTTTCTGATGAGTTTGATAGTTCAGGAGCTTGCTGCTGATGTGAAAACAAACAATACATGAAACAGTCCCTTGTTGACTGTCCTCAACCAGCCAGTGTTGTCTCTCTGTTCTCTGGACTTACATTCAATAGTATTGTTTCAATTGACTCCAGTTTTAATGACACACATCTAAAAATAACTGTCTGTTCAAATTGTGGAGTTGCTTTCAGTGTGGAAATAAACGCTGGTAGTACCAACACATGATATTAAATACTGCATCAAATTCAGCTTGGGACATCATTTAGCACATTCACATCTAAATTGTCACGAAAACATGTTGTCCTGCTGAGATCTGGTGTAAAACAGTAGCCTTGCTTAAAGATATGTTACTTAAGTATCACAATGATAAAAGGCATGTGTCAAGATAGTGCTTCCTACATCAGTCTTCATTGGTACTGTATTTCTTTTTTTCCTCACTTTTCAACAGGTCCTTTATGAGAAGGAAAGTGTATTCATTCACGTAAATGTCCAAGATGCGAAGGATAAAGATGCTCACATCCAAGGGAGAGTTTTCCTCATCAAAAAGGTATGGCAGTTGACATTTAAATCAAGAATTATTACACAGCATGTCCCATATCTTGATACACACTACATATAACTTGTTGGAACCGAAGTAAGAAATATAGCATGAAAGTATTGGTTGGTTTGGTTGGTTTGGCTGGTTGGCTGGTTGGTTGGTTGGTTGGTTGGTTGGTTGTTTATTATGTTTATCGCCACATTCAGCAATATTCAAGCTATATGGCAGCGGTCTGTAAATAATCAAGTCTGGACCAGACAATCCAGTGATCAACATCATGAGCATTGATCTATGCAATTTGAATGACATGTGTTAACCACTGAAGACCAATTCTAACCCGGATCTTCACAGGTGTTAAAGTATTGGTAACCATGAAGATGCTGATGAATAAATCTGCCGTTGTGACTTGAAATTGATGTCTTGAATAATCATGAGAAATGTTGAATAAGGATCACTTTTGACAAAATGTCTCAGAAGAAGTCAGTGAAGCCTTTTCACTATGCTTTAGCATCACACAGACAAGGCACTGCAATTGTCTGTACTCAGTAAAAAGTGAAGTAGACATTGCATGACTATTGCCAGAACATTTAATCATACTGACATGGTAATTTACCAGTATGTTAATGTATAATGGTGTGTTCGTGTGTGTGAGACAAGCTAGTGTATGTATTATTCAGGACAGGCAACTTTCAAAACAGACTCACAAAGTTTTTGATCTTAGTAGACATGAATGGAAAAGCATACCTATTGGTATAATGTACATGTTCCTTACAGCATGTTTTGTCAGAGACCGAGAGATGATGTAAACTCATATCAGTTGAATGTTGCAGGATGCAGAAGATACATGTTTTTGTTGTTTGTTTTATTTACTGTCATTAAATACTGGATTGTCCTTGGTATACTGGTCCAGAATGATTGTATAAACATACCATGTCTACATCATACAGCAGTCACTAATGTGTCACCGTTGATCAAGCTGACAGTGGAGTGGCTTACTGTCTGTGTTGGTATGTTTCAGCCTGATGGTACATACATTGAGTGGCGGGCAGAGGATCTAATGGCCGTGGATGGTCAGTCAGACCAGGACTGGGCAGTCATTGGGGGCACTGTCAGTAGTGTCAGTTACAAGAATGACCGAGAGGCAGATTCAGGTGTGTCCTATCACACATATCTATATGAAAAAGTCTTGAATTGTTAGAGGTGTGTTCAGAAAATGGACAAATTGTCTGTAGACGTAATGTACTATGTCCTAACTGACATTAATGGTGTCTCATCTCTCAACAGGCTAAAGTGCATAGCAGACAGGCTCAGTTGTATTAGATAGTAATGTGAAGGGAAATTGTACAGATTTCTGCAGCCAGAGCTACAGATAACTGTTTGGGTCATTGAGTTATGTACTCTCTTGTGTTCATCTCGATTGGGTATCCTAATTTTCCTTTCAGTAACCAAATAAATTGTACTCACCCCACTCAAACTCAATTGGGTATTTTGCTGTTTTCCATTAATTTTAAAAGTATAAAAATGTTTAAATGTTAGTGTTCGTTATTTATATTTGATCTGTAATATGAGAAACGATAAGAAAGACTGCAAGTTGTCAAGTTCATGTCCTGAAATAGAACGTCTCAGAATGCCTCAGTTATATTATCTATCCACCAGTACGTAAGCTAAGATTTGACATGTTTGTGTGTCCGCATGTAAGTTCACATTTATTGAGTATTTACCAAAACTCAAGCGTACTTGTACGCAATAGACTAAATAGGAATTGAGTTTTCACATAAATATTTGCGTAATTTACGCAGATACGCAGCTTATCTGTACCTCTGTGCAGTCATGAAGCAGACTACACAAAATGCCCACCCATGACTTACTTGGTCATCTAGAGTGACTTAGTCCTCTTAAGACATCTATCATTGTCACGGTGCTTCCTTCAGTCATGGCAGGATGTGCTACTTGTGGCTTCATGTTAAGTTTGTTATGTTATCATGTAACCAAAAGTTCATAGCCTTATACTGATTCCTTCTGATTCCATGTAGTCTCGATGAATGCCAAGATGGATGCCCGTCGGAAATACAACATTAGTTTTGATGTGTTGGACCTGAAGAGCTTCAAACGTAGTGCTCCGAATCATGGGTGGGCCTACATCATTTTTATCCTGAAGGATGGCACAACGTACCCTGCGCTGCACTTCCACAATGGAGGCAGCAAGGCATTACTCCGGGATCTGGAGCAGTTTGTACATATTCGAAGGTGAGTCAGCGAGCAGATTCAAGTGGGTCAAAAACCCAGACTGACATGATACTGAACATTCTGAAAGAACCTCAAAATAAGTATTGAAAAGAGCATCATTTCGTAACTTAAGAGATCCATAATAACATCATGGGTGGCACGATCATTTTTGGCAAATTGAATTTGATTTTGCAGAGCAGGGCATTCCAGAAATTGTGGGGTTTGACTTCCAGATTTGTCTCGATGTTTGCCTTGGTAAACAGAGTCCAGGAACTGCATCGCTCAGGGCTTTCCTCCCAGATGAGGCTGATATGCGCTTGTATAGTTGAAACACTGTTCAAAATGTGCATATCAAAATTGCATGTGGATGTTGCTATGTCTTCTTTGTTTGAGTTTACAGTAAATTACCTGTTGTGGATTATTCACCTTTTTGTCACTGATGTTTCAATGTGGTGTACTTACAGATCTCCCAACGATACCCGACTTTTCATAATACAGGAACATGATCCGGAGATGCTGTCTAAATCCTTTGATGAGCTGCATCTGTTTTCTGACTCTCAAGGGGACCTTGTCTCGGTCAGTAAACACACTAGAAGATGATTTGTGATCATCCATGTCACCATGGTTACAATGTGATGTCTGTCATATTTGATTTAAAGTAAACATCTTATACCCTGATAGCAATGTTCGTTGGGCCAACATTGGCCAACGTAGGCTCAATGATGGCCAATGTTGGTCCAACATTGGCCCAACAGACATTGCTATCTGGGTATGAGTTAACTCAAAGGATTATGAATGATTTGGTTTCCAAAGTGAGTGAGTGAGTTTAGTTTTACGCTGCATTGAGCAATAGTCCAGGCCCCAATTTCTCGAAACAAACTTAAGTTTTTGGGTTTGACAATTTGAAACAGCTGAATTTTTAACTCAACTGCATTTTTAACATAAAAAAAAGCCCAAACAACTTAAGTAATCTATCCACCAAACTCAAATTGTCTGCTATGTTTGAGTTTAATATCAATTTCAGTTTATTCTAGGAAATGCATTTGCTCACATTTGAGTAAAAACTCTAACTTAAGTCAAAACTCAGACTTAAGTTTGTTTCGAGAAATCGGGGCCAGATATATGGCGGTGGTCTGTAATTAATCGAGTCTGGACCAGACAATCTAGTGATCAACAGCATGAGCATCAATCTGCGCAATTGGGAACCGATGACATGTGTCAACCAAGTCAGCAAGCCTGACCACCCGATCCCGTTAGTTGCCTCTTACGACAAGCATGGGCTACTGAAGATCAATATTCTAACCAGGACCATCACAGGTTGGTTTCCAAAGATATGATCATGCTTTTATAGCCATAGGCTTTTGTGTGAATAGGAATCTTTGTTGTTTAACCCAGCAGTAAGCCAGCTATGTAACAGCTGTCTGTAAATGATCAATCTGGGCCACACAATGCAGTGATAGACATCATGGTTAGTGAGTCTGACTACCTGCCTCTTTTGACAAGCATGGGTTGCTGAAGTTAAATTCTAACTCATATCTTCACCTGTTGATAAGGAATGTAGTACTTAGCCTGATTATTCGATAGATTAGCATCTCTTCCAGATTTCAACAAGTTAGTCATCATTCATGAACCAATACAACAATTAGTCCCTGGATATTCAGTTTTCTTGCTTCGACACGGAGTGGAACGACTGTAAACTTTTCATTTGGCCTTTGTCCCATCACCCGTGTATATCCTTCTGCTCTCGCTATGGACTACTTACCACGATTCATACGACACATGCAGCACGCTCCCCAGCAACCCACGTGACCACTGCTCTCACATCATTCTCTTTCTTGTCGCATCCCTGGGTGGACGTAATTGTGAACACTCAGTTCCCTTCATTGAATTTTCCATTATGGGGAAACCTGAAGATAAACGCTAGCGCAAGTTTTGCGCACAATGTTAAAGACTTTTTCCAATTTTGACACTCACAGTTCTTGCGTCGACTGTGTTGGTTTGTATGAGGCTGACGATGAGGCAGGCCGTGCTAGATATACCTCTTCAGAATTGAGTCCTTCTTCTGTTAAGAAACCTCGTTTACAGTGTACTACTTTGACTCCAAGGCCATCGAAATCCCCTCACTCGGAGGGGGAGGATTTTATGGCCGCCTCGTCCAATTCTTACCTCTAGGACGATTTGAGGAAATTGTTGGGTACTCACTTGTCCCCTTCCCCTGGGGCCTTTTGGGTTGTAGTGATGGGACAACCGAACTGAACAACGCCAGCGAACTGGTTCGTCAGATCATCCTATTTGCCAAACTCATCCGAGTATCATCGCCGAACCGTTTTGGCAGGTCAAACTGGTTCGCCGCAACATCGCCGAACTGATTCTTCAGCCCCCAATTGCCCATTTCTTCCATCCGAATCACATCACCGAACTAGTTTGTTAGGCCAGATTGGTTCACCCTACGGACCTGTATCTCCTCGAACCAATTCATCTGTTTATCATTGCTGTTCTAGTTCGTCTGGTTGATCTAATTCACCACACCTACAGGTTCTACGGCTTGAACAGAGTTACTTCGAAATAGTTCATCCATCTTTACTGAACCACATCTCCGAACTGGTTTATCGGATGCTTTTGCGGTTCGAACCACTACGGGAATACTACACCGAACCGGTTCATCAATTTGTACTGTTTTCGTATCAACTCTCTACTTTGCCTAACCGTTTGGATCCTTATAAGACCTTGTCATTTAGCCGTTTTGGGTATCATTCTCGCTCTCACTCCCCTCACCCGCCCGGTTCTGTGGAGCGTATTGACCCTGTTGTATTGACTGTTTTTTCCCCCCAACTATCAGTTGGTCTGCACTCGCCGACTTCGTATCCTATACGTTGCCACAATGAATCGATTGATCACCAAACCGATTCACAACACCAATCCCGTGCGAAACGCTGAATCGATTGACACGACCAAACCATTTCACCTGTTCGAGATAGATCTTATCACCCAATTGATTTACCATGTCAAATCGATTTACACAGCCGAATCGATTCACCACAGCTGATCCGGACCTAGTAATCAAACCGATTCAGATGCCGAATCGATTCACATTTGATGTTAGTAGTGCTGTCATCTAGATTATGCCAGGCCCTTGACATTCTGACTATCCCAGATCTCCAATACTCCATCCATCTCATTCCAGATTTAATCTACCATTTGATCTTCACGTTGATGAATGATTCGGTCCAACGAATCTACCCTTCGGTGCAGTTATTAGCTCTACAACCACCCATTTGTGCATTACTAGATTATCTTGCTATCCAGGAGTATTTTACGATGCTTCACTGAGTCCTGTTACTACAGACTACTAACAGTGTTCTGGTGTATCGCTGGGTGCAATCATGGCTTGGTTCGTCATCCTGTTCACCCTTCCAGTGATGTCTTGTCATGTATCTAGCATCCCTTAGCCCGGATTTTATGGGTTGTCACTTGCCCGGTTAACCAAAGACTGTGTTGTCCGGATTTTTGTCACCGTTGCATCATGGGTAACATTTGCAAATGGCAGACTACTGTTTGTTTACCAGAGACTTTTGTTGATTAGAGTGGCTATGAAGTGCTCTAACAGACTCGTCTTGGTCCCACGAGTCGGATATCAATTCCAGCCTCTAATCGCCAGTAACGATGAACAGTGCCATTCCTGGTAAGAGGGATTGTGTCGGGATTCACTCCATCTGACGAACCAAATGCTTCAGGGCCCCGTTTCACAAAGCTCTCGTAAGCCTAAGATCTCATAACTTTTCTTGTAGCATTCATACCTCCTATACTGTAACATAGGGGGTACGAATGCTACGAGAAAGTTACCAGATCTTAGGCTTGCAAGAGCTTTGTGAAACAAGACCTGAGATTGCCGTTTGTACAAATTCCATCACTCCGTTTACAATGTGAACGTTTCTGTTGATTGTCTTACAATCTCCATGTGCCAAACCTACTACATTCAGCACTCCGTTAGTACTGTCATGGTAGCTGGACTATTTGAACATTCTTATCCCAGGAGCCAATAGTTGTTAGGCCTCCTCACCACAGCTCAAGCTTTCACTTACAGAAGTCAACTTCAGGCCAACAACCCCAACGCATTAGTCCACCTCCTCACTTCAGGATGGTGTCGATCAACCTTCTACACTTCATCATGAAGAAGGGAGACTTCCTCATCAGCCTTGATCTTCAGGACGCCTACCTTCACGTTCCGATACATCCAGAGCAGCGGAAGTACCGGTGGGAGCCATTACAAGTGGCAGGTCCTGCCATTTGGAATTTCCACGGCCTCGTTGCTTTTTACCCGTATTACCAAGCTGATAACAAGTTTCCTGCATCGTCAGGGAATAGTTTTTGTGAGTTACATAGACGACTGCATCCAGTCTCACCAGGATTCAGCCGTTCTACTACAACATCTACAGTTCGCCAGCAAGTTTGCCAACCTGTCTGTCAAGAATAAAAGCAAACTCTCAAAAATCGTAAGCACTGCGTCTAAATTTTATTGGGCTTCCTATCGAGAGTATCAGCTGTTGTTATGAGCAGCAAATTTCCAAAAAGGCAAACAAAATTTTAAGTGATCCTACTCACATAATTTTTTCGGAATATTCCTCATTACCCTCTGGACGCAGGCTGCGTATGCTGGCTTTTAAAACAAACAGGGTTTGCTACTCATTTGTTCCAACTAGTATTAGATGTATTTACAACAAACTCAATGAGTAACTTGTCTTCCAACTGTTCAAATTCTAGTCAATATCAATGACTAAGCTGCTTCACCAGTAAGGGTGGCTGTTGAATTCCACATGTCGGAGTTAATACCGACTCAAAAGCTTCAATTTATCTGGGTGGTGTTCAACACCTGTCAGGGAATCCTTTTTTGTGCCCCAAGACAGATGGGCAAAATCCAGCGTTGTGTCCCATGAGCACTGTCTTAGGCAAGGACTCTTCGACTATGGCAGGAGCTATTAGGTCTCTAACGTCAGCGCAAGCCCTGACTTACAGAGGCCAGCTTCAACTTCATCCGTTACAACAGTTTCCCAGGATTCGTGTCTCCGATTTCGGACCCTCAAGCATGGGACCTCGACGCACAGGCAATCTCATGGGAGGGACTAAATGCGTATGCGTTCCCCCCCTCCAGCTCTACTTCCCAAAGTAGTACAAAGTTGGGCACCACCAAGTAGATACTTCTACTTTTGGTAGCACCTTTTTGGCCAGCAAGAACTTGGTTCATCGACCTCAGAAGTCTGGCAGAACCAAACCCGGTACCAGTTCCTGATCGAGACGATCTACTTCTTCACCCTCACTCAGATCTTCATCACAGGTCCCCTCGGACCCTATCTCTTCACGTACAGATTGAAAATCTCTCGTAAGGGCTACTCTCGTAGTTTAGCTACAGATATTACTTCTTCTCATAGGACGTCTACTCGTTCATTATATGACAACAAATGGAAGAGATTTTAGGTTTCTTGCAAGGCTAGAGGAATTCAGTATCCTACTTTCGCCTCTGCTCAGGTCGTTGCCGAGTTTCTACAACACTTGCATGCTACGAAGAAACTCAAGGGTACCTCATTATTTAGCCGCCATTAATTCTGTTCTGGCTACCACTATGGGTACCAAGGTATCCACGGTTCCAGAAAGCTGCATTTACTACGCTCATACAAGCTCACCGACCAGGAAATTTTGTCCTACGGCCTGGGATCTTTCGGTAGTGCTTTATCACCTAGTTTCTGGAGACTATGAGCCTCTAGAAGACAAGGATTTTGAGCACATCACTTTCAAGACTTTCTTCATGGTAGCGTTAGCTACCGCGGCTCAAATTTCAGAACTGACATCAAGGTTTGAGTGAAAGAAACATGAAAGTCTCTTCCTGGGTCACTTTGTCACTTTGACTGGTTAGGGCACTACGTATATTCCTTACCGCTTCTCAGGACCGGCGACATACACCTATCGACCACCTCTACAGCTTAGGTGTCTAGGACTACATTGTCGTTCTGGATGCATTCTACCATACTACAAGCGTAGACTTTGCCGGTTTACCTCCTCCAGCCGTATTCAACCCTCATGAGACTCGTGCTTTAGCCTCGAGAATGGCGTTGCATAGCGATTGCTCACTGACATCTGTCATTGAGGGTTGTTTCTTGTGCTCTGGCAGTGTCTTCTCATCTCATTATCTGCGAGACCTCACGGTGACAGACGTCCAAGGGTTACACCAGTTTGGACCACTCGTCCTGGCTCAGCAGCTCTTTTCGGCTCAGCAGCTACTGCTTTCTGTATTTATTGAATTAAGTCTGAACTTTATGTTTCTCTTTTGTTCACATTGATTATGGGTTTTTTAGAATTACTTCACTTAGTTTGATACTAAGGCATCTAGACACCGCCACCAAGTTTGGCATAGTGGTTTTAATAGTAAAGTGTGTGTCGTGATGCAGAGGTGTACGACATTCTCGCTTACTGATCTCTACTCTATGGAGCAATTTCGTAAGTGAAGTGAGTCCTTCCCGAATCCCAGTGGATTTCGTTTCATTCTGACTCCTAACTTGCCGGACTCATCCTTTGACTAAGCTTATCTAAAGGTGCGGGGGTCAATTTGATGTTGCTTTGGAACTGAAAGTTAAAACTTGTGAGTTTCCGATTCATCTTCGCTTTCACCCTCTACGTGATGGTGTCTGTGGGGTTGTCTCAAAGCAGGGCCTGTTCCAATTATCAGTTGAAAAACTGTAATTACGGAGGTACATTGGAAATATTGGCAACGTGAGGCCTACTGGCTAAGCTACGTCCTTTCGTCTTAATGAAGGTTGTGGCTAAACACCACATCGCTCAGGAGCACCAATCTCTCAGGGAGGAGTCGTGCTTAGTAAGCCAAGCTGTACAGGAGAACCCATCACAAGTATAGGAGTTGTGTGCATGCATAACAGGCCTCCCTTGTGCATCGCTATCTACGATTGTTCGGGATTATACAGCTGAGCTGTCCTTTCTGGTGAGATTTAGGGTAATCTGCAACCTGCCGTCCAACCATGGAATAAGTGCAAGCCATGAGATAAGATAAGTTTAACAATTTGAAAATTTTAACTATAAATTGTATATTTATATGCTTATCTTATCTCATGCGATGGACACCTGCCCAACCTCCCCACTACTCAGATTACCATGACAGCGCCAAGAATGAGAATGATGTGTGACCAGTGGTCACGTGGGTTGCTCGGGAGCATGCTGCATGCCTTGTATGAATCGTGGTAAGTAGTAGTCCATAGCGGGAGCAGCAGGATATACACTTGGGACAAGAGAGGCCAGGGGAAAAGTTTACAGTTGTTCCACTCAATGTCGAAGCAAGAGAGAGAGGTGCAAGCCTGAGATAAGATAAGGATATAAATATACAATTTATAGTTAAAATTTTCAATATATGATTTTTGATGGAAAAGTCATCATTTCGGTTTCGAGAGTTAGTTGGAAGTGTTTTGATTTTGTTCTGTGCTAGTGCTGACTTGTAGAGTTATCTGTTGGCAGAAGTTCATCAAAGACCCATACACCACAACAATGGGGGGGTTCTCGAAAGTCACCAACTTCCTGCGTGACACCCTGATGCAGCAGGAAAACCCAATCACACGGCCACGCGAGGAGGTTGCAGAACTGCTCCAGGAGGACATTCCAGGAATGGAGATCAGTCACCAGGATGAGCCAGGATTTGAAGTTGTGACAAAGGTCAGGGTTATTGCTTACTCCACAATCTAAAATATAATGTAACTCTACTGGGAACTGAAATATTTATGGTCAGAGATAGACAGTATGGTAAAGTGAGATTCAGCTTCATCTCAGTTATTTAAGAACAGTTACTATGAGTGAGTATGGTTTTACGCCGCTTTTAGCAATACTCAAGCAATATTACAGTGGGAGACACCAGAAATGGGCTTCACATTTGTACCCATGTGGGGAATCGAAACCCGGGTCTTCGGCGTGACAAGCCAGCGCTTTAACCACTAGGCTACCTCACCAGCCCCAGTTACTATGAAGCCATTAGTGATAAGTGTTGATATATCTCAGACCAAGCTGCCAAAACGGCCCGAGGTGAAACGAGGTGACCCTTTGAACCAGCAGCAGTGGACAGCTCAGATGGATGATGAGGGACGCATCAAGGATCCAGAACATGTCAAGGACATCATTTTCAGAGGGGTAAGAGTTTTAGTCCAATAATATGTGCACTTTTCCAAGAATCAGTTTAAAATTTATGCTCTTTTGTTCAAATTGTATTTTTCTAAGGTACTGATTATGAATAAATAGGAAACGTTCATGTCCTCCTACAGTCCTTGGAACTTGGGAAACCTCTATTACAGTTGTTTGTATGATGCTAGGGAATCGACCCAGTTCTTCGTGGAGAGGTGTGGAAGTTCCTTCTGGGCTTCTATCGATGGGATGCAACCTTCAAACAGAGACAAGATGAGCTCAAACGGAGAGTGTAAGTATACTATGGTTATCACTACTCTGGATTCATGCCAGGTACCCCAAACCTACTACACACACTATTGAAAACATGATATTACCATTGACTCTTACTAACCATAATGAGTAATTATTCTCATCTTGATACAACATAGAGCAATTTCCATCACTCTTGAAAACTAATAACACACAACCCAAAGGGAGCCTCTTCCCTGCGAGTGCTTTTGACCAGGTTGTTGACTAGAGTTACCTCCCCATGAGGCCACACTTCACCTTCTTTGCAGATGGCAGCACATGGTTGTGACTTACACTCTGTATCCTTTGACATAAGATGCAGTTTTGATACTTTTGAGGATAATATTCACCATGTACAATAACGCCTCATATTTTTTTATGTACTTTCTGGAGCCATCATCCTCTGTGAATCACCTTCAGCTGGAGGACAATGCATTAAGGCTGAGGATATATTTCTTTAACAACCATAGTGCCTTTTATGATTTGGCGTTTATTACAACTCCCAACATCTGATGACTTGCACACTTGTGCATGCACTGAGGAATGACATCATATGGCTGGACATATACTACCTTGACAACTCGAGGGGTTAGAGCCAGAACCACTTATAACCACACAGGCACATTTCGAGAAACAGCACTCAAATGTTTGGACAGTTATAAAAAAATAATAATCAACTATTGTTTACTGTTTTGTGACAAGGTGACAGAGTATGCTGGTGCATTCATGTTACTATACAACCATAAATATAATCAGCCTAATTAAATAGGTATGACGAAAATAAACTCTAGCTTGTTCTGGCGTAAATGTAAAACACTCGGGGCTCTGTAAACATGAGAGCGAGAACCAGTTAAATTAGAAACACAGTGTATGGCAGTTAAGAATATGTTGAGAATATGTCTGTCCCCGAGTCAAGAACTCGGTTATCTTTAAACAGGGGATTGTGGCATAGTTTGCGGCTCACGATTTCCTGTGTCGCAGTTTCCACTAACTCGGGAGCATTATCTTTGCCCCAACAATTGTATCAATGCGAAGCCAACTAAAAGCAATGACCCCTGATCTCAAGATCACCCATATCATCACAGCCAACCACTGTTTCCTTTAAGCCCTGTAACCATATCCTGCGGTAAAGCTGTTTAGGCAGTATCCCACATTCTCAGCTGGTGGCTGGAACCATTAACCAGCAGTAACTGCCTTTCCGTTATTGAATGCATTTTACTTATAGCTCGCCTTAAATTGTGCTTGTGAGATTTTATCTTCACATGTTGTTATCACTGAAGACATCAGTAATTGCTTAAACCACCTTCAAGACTTTCTTTAGACTTTTCTGTTAGATGACAACAACGCCTCAATACTTTCAACATAGTTCCACAATGCATCATTACCGTGTACTTCTTTATTGAAGAATAAAACCAATTACTATAAGACATTGTAAGTGTTTCAGTATTTTTAACTATTTCAATATTATATTACATGTAAACAGAAATTCATAAACAGTATAGTTTCAAATTACTGAATAGAAGAAAATCAAGCACAGTCACAAACATACACATAATACGCAACCACAGATAAGCTCATTGCATATTAAGTCAAATTAGGGATAAATGTAACGATCTGAGTAATAATTTAAGCCGCTTGGTATATAAAGTATCTTACCCGAGTGTCTTTTGATATCAAATATATCACCACGAGTTGATAAAGTAACAAATGTCCGAGGCTTGCCGATATTTTACTTTGATCAACGAGTGTTTATATATTTGATATCAGAAGACACGAGGGTGAGATTCTATTTATCATCCAAAATCACTCTTCATTAATTTTCAATGAAAAATGTACATCTCTGAACACAGTACTGCCATTGAACTCGCAGTGAAGCGATGTCATAGCAATGTGACGTCATCAAGTTCATGACGTCATATCATTGTCAGGGCATTGTGCAAAATTTACTCTCAAAACGATATGTCCTAGGAGATATCGTCTGATCTCACACAAGCAATGTCTCCTGTGGAACACAGTTTTGGATGATAAAACTTAATAGAACTATGACACTAGACTATGACATAGATGAAGGCTAAAGACTTTTGATACTAAAAATTAAGTCTGTTATAAGTGAATCAAGATTACATCACACAGATTAGATAGAACACTGAATAATCACATTAGGTATTTGATGACATAGATATGTCATGTTAGATATGTGACATGTTAGATATAATAATGAGTCGTATTTCCTTTCGTTAATGATTTGATGACGTCTCAAAATGTAAATGTCATTTTTTGAATTGAGAATTAATATTGATATCCACCTCTTAACACTATTTCATACTCTTTAAAGGTCACATGCAACGTAAAACACAACTTTGCAGATTCTGATACCTTCGGGTATGGACTTACCAAACAAATCGTCAAAATGCAAATTCAACTTATAAAGTTGAAAAATAACGCCATGAAAAAAAAACGCTACGAAATCGGAGTTCAAATGTTTCACTAATTTTCCCCGACTTTTCTGGGGAAAATGGGTTTCAACAGCTGGGCTGCCGCTCATAGCACGCAAGAGTGAAATAGGTTCACAGCGAGCTTGGAAGCGGGTTGTCCGTGAATACCGGTGAAGGCTTTGGTGTGAGCTATTTTTCTAATGTTTTGTTGATATCTCACAGGCGCGAGCTTTTATATGTTATGACAGTAAATTAACTGTTTATATAATTTCACCACACGCTCTTCTTACCGAGTCACTTTCTCAGTTCGATACTTATTTAGCTTGACAGAATTTCTAACTGTGATATAGATATGTCGTTGTCACAGACAAAACTCAATGTCTTGTTTTATTGACACCTATGTGTGTCTGCCTGCCTGTCTGCTAATGGCAATATTTAATACACAGCTGCTATCACTGACCACATGCAATTTGAACTTAACACCAATCAGGCTATACACCATAAACAAAATGCATTGATTTATTGCCCGAGTTCGGTCTCTGTCATATTATGTAATTACACAGACAGGCAGGTGTGATAGTTGAACACTTGACATGTTATGATGTCTGTTGATTGTAAAATGTTATACACAAAAATGAGCATGTATTTACAAAACCCAACATCTCTACATAAACACACACAATAAGCCGTGAGGGCATAATGCGAAATGAACAAGCCGTGACACTTGAGTGCACACCCACCCGCCAGACTGGGTTCGGTATCCCGCTGCTTCGCTTTCTTGGGAAGTAAACCGGTACACAATATTGCACTTTTGATTTGCGATTGTACGCTTTATAATTTTGTTTATATGTTTTTCATAACCAGCAATGTATATTATATGTCACTTAATAAGTGATAATTGTGTTTTAATTATGTTTGATTTTTTGGTTGCATGTGACCTTTAAACTTGTTAAATAACTTATAGGAAAAGGTTTACATAACTATGTGGCCTGGTGGAAAAAAGTGCTTTGTGTGAAATATGTGTGCAAGTTAAATTTGCAAAATGAGGAAATATATAGCAGAACACTTTACAGTAAATGAGGAGTCAGGAAATAATACAACATAACATGTTCTTGGAAACATGGCATGCCATTTGAATGAAAGTGACTAAGAAATATATAAAACCAGACTATGACACTATGATTATTACACTATCCTCACCCATGTCCACAATCATATTATAACTTACACCATGTAATAGCACAAAGCAACGTCTGTTGTTTCAGTGTCGTAGCTTTAGTCTGTATCGGTGTCTGTATCCTGCTCCAAGGCCAGGAAGGGGAGGCATTCTACTTTGTCAGCATCTGTCAGGAGTTCTTTGTAATAGTTGTGATACTCTCTGGGTATAATACCCGACCGACAGAGTGACATGAGATCTTTGTCTTGGCTGAGGAAATTGCTTGTTTTCCCTCGAGTACCTTCGGTCAGAGGTCCACAGATACTCTGAGGTCTTCCCCGGTGGCTGCCTGTAGACACTTTCCGTTCTCTGAATGGCTCATTGCTGTGCTCAGTCTTGAAGAAGTTGCTTTCTGGGTTGTCTTTAATGTAGCGCATCCAGCACATTGACAACCAGTTCACACGACCACCATCTGTATCAATTTTGGTGTTTTTCAGTCTACCATGGGCATATTTCTTAAAGTCCATCACATCGGTGAACTGTATTGGGATGACAATATAAGGGTCCTTTCTTCTGGCCATTCTTATAACAGTGTCCCACTGGCTTGGTACATAGATGCTAGTCTTCTTTTTGGCAAATTCAATGGTGGAATGAATTGCATCGCACTCCATCTGTGTGTGGCCTGGCTCTAGAAATTTGTGGTCAATTGTACTGATGTGTTCAATAGTGGTCACAGCATGTAATAGGGAGGCTGCGACATACTGGTTTCTGTTCTGTCCTGAACAGGTATCTGAATACAGAACTACATGCTTGACGGTTGGTGGCAAAGCCTTCAGCTGAATTTGCAGGCATGATGCAACTTCACATGATCCCCTCTTGGCATCCACTTCCGACCATACAAAGCATGTGCCTCCTTTTGTGGCTAAATCGTACACTGTAAAATTGTAACAGTTCAATTTCCTCATGTAGAAAAGTTCACTGACAAGTGAGCATGGTGTATACATGGAGTAAAACTCTGAGTCTGATGAATCGAGTGCGGTTTTATCTGGATCATATTCTTCACCTGACGATAATGCTGGGTCGTTGTCAGGGACCAGTCCTTTCCTACTCCTTAGTGTTGACAATAGTTCATTATCAGAACTGTCAAAGTCACTGTCACTATCCCTCAGAGATGATGTTCCTCCGCCCATAACACTGTACTAATAAGTCTGTAGGCGCATCACTCTGTGTTGGTATGTCTATAGGCGCATCAGTATGTACTGGTATGTCTACAGGCATTATAACTCTGTGCTGGTATGTCTATAGGCGCATGAGACTGTACTGGTATGTCTATAGGTGCATCTGTCTGTTCAGGTATGTCGATAGAAGCATCAGTCTGTTCTGGTATATATATATAGGCATCACTCTGTTCTGGCATGTCTATAGGCATAAGTCTGTACTGGTATGTCTATAGAGCATCACTCTGTTCTGGTATGTCTATAGGCTTAATCACTCTGTTCTGGTATATCTATAGGTGCATCACCCTGTACTTGTATGTCTATAGGCGCATCACTCTGTTCTGGTGCGCCTATAGGCGCATCAGACTGTACTTGTATGTCTATAGGCTACATCAGTCTGTTCTGGTACGCCTATAGGCGAATCAGACTGTACTTGTATGTCTATAGGGGCATCACTCTGTTCTGGTATGTCTATAGGTGCATCACCCTGTACTTGTATGTCTATAGGTGCATCATTCTGTTCTGGTATGTCTATAGGCACCAGACTGCACTTGTATGTATATAGGGGCATCACTCTGTTCTGGTATGTCTATAGGTGCATCACCCTGTACTTGTATGTCTATAGGTGCATCATTCTGTTCTGGTATGTCTATAGGCGCATCAGACTGCACTTGTATGTCTATAGGTGCATCATTCTGTTCTGGTATGTCTATAGGCGCATCAGACTGTACTTGTATGTCTATAGGTGCATCATTCTGTGCTGGTATGTCTATAGGTGCATCACCCTGTACTTGTATGTCTATAGGTGCATCATTCTGTTCTGGTATGTCTATAGGCGCATCAGACTGTACTTGTATGTCTATAGGTGCATCATTCTGTGCTGGTATGTCTATAGGCGCATCAGACTGCACTTGTATGTCTATAGGCGCATCAGACTGCACTTGTATGTCTATATGTGCATCACTCTTTACTATTGTGTCTGCAGTATCATTACTCTGTACAAGTATGTCTGCAGGCGCATTACTTTGTACAAGTATGTCTGCAGACGCATCACTCTGTACTGGTATGTCTGCAGGCGCATCACTCTGTACTGGTATGTCTGCAGGCTTATCACTCTGTACTGGTATTGCACACTGTTGTGGTAAACATCTGGGCGTAGTATCCATCTTTCTTTGTAAATCAAGAGGCACATAACGCTGTATTGATACAAACTGGGTTTGGTTATCCTCAGTGGTATGATCTGGTGTTGGTATATCCACTGACTCATCCTCTTCATCATTTCGCGTCATACTGTATTGGCATATCCGATGGTTTATCAGATTGTGCTGGGGTATCCAGCCACTCCCCACATGGGTTTGGTTCATGTTGAATATAATCAGAATTGACTGACATATTAGTGGCAAGTGACCAACTTGTGGCTGTGGCAAAGTCAGATTGTAATAATTCATCTTCATCTGCGTCCGGACCATAATTCAGACATCTTGCATAGACCTAAAACCAGAGTACTAAACTAAGGGACTGGCTAATATCACACACTGAATTTGATAACACTAACACTCAATAATCAAAGCAATTCAGTTTCAATTTTAATTAGTGCTGGCAAACAACTATACAGACAACAAATCTCGTAAGTGAAATACAAGTATATTACCACACTCATGTGTGTTATATTTAACAAGTACTTATTTTCTATTTACAGATATGACTTACCTGTAATGTCTTAGTGGGATTTTCGTACTGTAAATGTTCCTAATATAAACGCACACTTTAGAAAATAGCTCCTCTCCCAAGGTTCAAAATAAACTAACCTTGGCTAGTGTGAAACAAACCCTGTAAACAGCTGGGAGAGGCACGCTTATATATGGCTACAACAGAATAACAGAAATTAAGACCATCTGATCCCGGAGAGAGGTCCTTATCAGCTGTAAGTCTAAAGAGCCAGAACATTCCTTCAGCATATCAGTTGTTTTAACCGGTAAGGGAAATTCTTGATGGACACCACACAGTCTGCCAGAGGCGACTGCTGCCAGTTAAGGGTTTATGGCATGAGAATATCAAGCGTGGCTACAGCAGTTGAGCAGGACTGAACGGTGTATATTAACATAACATAACCTGGTCTATACCAAAAGGAGAGATAATTGATAAGTTGTTTGTACTCTAATGCATAACCACCTAATTAAGCCCCTGATTGCTATGGGCTTTTTTTTATGAGTAACATGTCAGTATGTGAGTGCATTAATACCCTTACCTAAATTTGACAGAATTATTTACTTAAGGTGTTCTGGCACTAACCCCTCGAACTGTTGTGTGTTTGCATCTCTGCGACTTAAACACCTACAACTTATGCACTTAGAGGCATTGAGGCTTTCTCAAATGGCTTCTCCTGCAAATGCCATTCATCTGGAACAGAGACTACAAGATCATGAGAACACACAAAGGCCATTATATGATGACTCTATGATGAGTTACAGGTTGTTCAGACAACAGAGAAATAGTTATCCCCCGCAACACGTTTTCCAGGGGGTGTTAAAATGGACTCTGTGGTTCCTTTCACATTTGTCTTTTCCTAGGAAGAACTTAAAAAACGTTCAATATTTCTTCACCAAACTTGGCACATAGATAGATCTGGTGTTGTTTTGGTGCCTTTTGGTAGTTTTGGATTTCTGAATAAAATATTTTTTTCGTTTCCATGGCAACAAGTTTGGCTTCAATTGAAATTGGTGGTAGTGCTCTTTTCTGGAGCAGAACTTTAAAACCGTTCACTGTTTTTTAACCAAACTTGACACATAGATAAGTCTTGTAGTGTACTGGTGCCTTTTGGTAGTTTTGGAATTCTGAATAAAATATTTTTGTGTTTTCCATGGCAACAAGTTTGACTTCAAATGAAATTGGTGGTAGTGCTCTTTTACGGAGCAGAACAAAAAAAACAACATTCACTGTTTCTTTACCACATTTCGTACATAGGTAGATCTAGTGGTGAACTGGTGCCTTTTGGTAGTTTTGGATTTCTGAATAAAATATTTCTTTGTGTTTCCATGGCAATAAGTTTGACTTCAACTTAATTTGGTGGTAGTGCTCATTTCTGGAGCAGAACTTTAAAACCTTTCAATACTCTCCTTCCACTTTGCTATATACACGCCAAAACATTTGACATAATCATAACTCATAGACATATTCATGAAGAGTATTTTGCCATTGCGGGGGACATTGATGAGTTAACTTTGTCTTCTTGTTGGTTCTTAAGACTAGATATGTTTCAGTCGTTCAAAGTTTCTTGCGTTGTGTGAGAATGCTATATGCATTATTGAGATTGTAAAGTCACAGTTACGATAGGTGTGTGTGTTCAAAAATAGACTGTATATTTAAATATAATGATTTGTACAGACTTTTAATTTCCATGTTTAAGGCATATCCTGCTGTTTTCATGTAGATTTGCTTTTCACTAGCACTTTTTTTTGCTGATTAGGTTTCTTTTGTGGAATTTGAACTTTCCCAAGAGTGCTGCATCAACATCTTGGAACTTTGTCAGTGTGGCCTCTCTTTATCACATCTTTCAATCTTTCCAAGGACACATAGTTTTTGTATCTAAGAATTGTTTGAACAAATAATGCTGTTTTTATGTAGATTTGCTTTTCATTAGCACTTATTTGCCTACCAATTTTCTGTTATACCAATTCAGGTTATTCAAAATAGACTTGCCATACAAATACAAAGTGTTTCGTATCCCAGTTCCAAGGTATTTGTGTTTACTGACAGGCAGATTATATAGGCATACCGTCATCCAGTTGTACAGGCCAGCCTTGTAGGATTTACTGTAACAGTGAGATCATTTTTTCTGCGTCCATGCACATGCACATTTGTCTTTTCTGGAGCAGAACTTTAAAACCATTCAATATTTCTTCATCAAACTTGGCACATAGATTTGACATTTGACTTAATCATAACTAGTAGACACATTCATGAAGAATATTTTGCCATTGCGAGGGATATTGATGACTTTCATTTGTAATTGAAGGATTGAAGGATTTTCATTTGTAATTTTGGATGTATGTTTACTCAGTACTCTGAAGAAAATGTTTTTAAAAACGGACTGACATTCCTGTCAACTTTAATGCCTACAGTATTTTTGGTAAGCTTGCTCTTCATTCTTTGCATTACTACAGTCAACAGATCTTTTAAATGCTAAGAATTTATAGTTTTACTCAATTTTCAAAATGTGGGCCCACTCACAATAGTCTCTGTAGAGCTAAAAATAAGTGGGCCCACATTTCTGTTTTGACTTTGATGCTGACAGTTAAGTTGGTGGTATTGTAAGTAGAAGCTGCTTTTGATCTACAACCAAGGACAATGAAATGGCCTACCTTTCCTGTCCCACATATCAGTTTCTTCAACATCAGGGACACTCTGTGAAAACAAAATGACAGTATAACGTAACAGAATTAAGTAACTGACAAAGCAGTTTATCTCTTTCCCAGCGCCATGCTTTTACTTAGATATGAAACCAAACAGCATACTTCCAGTCTGTATTTAGAGTCAGTCAGGTCCTTCATAACTAACCATTGATAATGTGGTTTCACCAACTCTGCTCTGTAACCTTGTGGATAGCACCACTCAAGGCTAGAGACACATTTGGGTCCTGTGTTAAGGATCAAGTAACGAAGGAAATTGCTCTAAATTGTGTCATGATAAGTATACTAATGTTGTAACTGGGGATGTTTTAATTCTCTCACAACAGTGTTGAAATGTGGATCTGTAAATAATCTATATGCGACATGCACAGTACAGAGATAGCAAGTCCTCAGCTTTCAAGCTTGGTGTTACAGAGACGACTATTTCCGTATGAAGCTGCAGTGGAAAACCATCAGCTCAGAGCAGGAGCGCAGGTTTGCCTTGCTGAGGGAAAGAAAAGGTCTTATTGGTGAGCATTCCACTTGGCCTAATCTTAACAGTATCCTGGTTACAAAACCAGGTTGGGTTGTGGAAGTAGCGTTTCTTAGTTGTTTTGAAGTGTGTTGATGACTGAGCTCTGTGTTCCAGACAAGGATGTCACAAGAACGGACCGGACACAGAAGTTCTTTGTGGGCGAGAACAATCAGAATTTGCAGGTGCTCAATGACATCCTCATGACGTACTGCATGTACAACTTTGATCTAGGTGAGTCCCAAACTGTAGCCAGATGTAGTCTGTAATCGGTTGTTATCATGTGTCCTTGGTTCCTGTTCTCATGATTTACACTTGCACTGAATATGTATTTTGTGACTGCACACTGATGTAAATTTATATATATCAGTATTGTCTTGGAATCAGTAGTTGTGTATGTTTTTTGTAGAATCTTAACTGTCATGTTACTCTTATTGCATTGAGCGTTATGTATTGACAACACAAAGTGCGTGTAGAACCAATGCCTGATACATACCGGAAGTGAAAGTCTGACACACAAGTGTGGGGACTGACCGTGGCTGTTTGTTTGTCTGCAGGCTATGTCCAGGGCATGAGTGACCTTCTCTCCCCAATCCTGGTTGTCATGGAGAATGAAGTGGATGCCTTCTGGTGTTTTGCAGGATTTATGGAGAGAGTGGTAAGCTAATCTTCACACAGGTGTAATTCATCTTTGTTGGATGTGTGGGGCCATCAGTAACTCTTCTTGTAAATTCTTTCTAAGATGGGATAAAGTAAAGATCAATTTGTGGAAACTTTCAGCAGCCAAATGTGGGCCTGGCAGATTATGTGGAAACTTTCAGTAACCAAATGTGGGCCTGGCAGATTATGGGGAAACTTTCAGTAACAGAACATGGGTCTGGTGGATTATGTGGAAACTTTCAGTATCAGAACATAGTTATGACAGGTTATGTGGAAACTTTCAGTATCAGAACATGGTTATGACAGGTTATGTGGAAACTTTCAGTAACAGAACATGGTTATGACAGGTTATGTGGAAACTTTCAGTAACAGAACATGGTTATGACAGGTTATGTGGAAACTTTCAGTATCAGAACATGGTTATGACAGATTATGTGGAAACTTTCAGTATCAGAACATGGTTATGACAGGTTATGTGGAAACTTTCAGTAACAGAACATGGTTATGACAGGTTATGTGGAAACTTTCAGTATCAGAACATGGTTATGACAGGTTATGTGGAAACTTTCAGTATCAGAACATGGTTATGACAGGTTATGTGGAAACTTTCAGTATCAGAACATGGTTATGACAGGTTATGTGGAAACTTTCAGTAACAGAACATGGTTATGACAGGTTATGTGGAAACTTTCAGTATCAGAACATGGTTATGACAGGTTATGTGGAAACTTTCAGTATCAGAACATGGTTATGACAGGTTATGTGGAAACTTTCAGTATCAGAACATGGTTATGACAGGTTAAGTGGAAACTTTCAGTAACAGAACATGGTTATGACAGGTTATGTGGAAACTTTCAGTATCAGAACATGGTTATGACAGGTTATGTGGAAACTTTCAGTATCAGAACATGGTTATGACAGGTTATGTGGAAACTTTCAGTATCAGAACATGGTTATGACAGGTTATGTGGAAACTTTCAGTATCAGAACATGGTTATGACAGGTTATGTGGAAACTTTCAGTATCAGAACATGGTTATGACAGGTTATGTGGAAACTTAAGAGAACAAAGAGCATGTTGATAAGATCGTCTGACTGTTCCAGGCACACAATTTTGAAATGGACCAGAATGGAATGAAAGTGCAGCTGTCTCAGATCCACAAACTCATGCAGGTGTATGACCCTGAGCTGTGCAACTACCTGGGTGAGACAACAATTGCATACTTACTCTCTAAGATATTCATTTGTTTGACCATTCATAAAGAAATCAAAAGGCCTCAAAATATAAACTCTGGTCAAGCACTGTAAATTAAAAATCATGTAACTGTAAGAAGTAACAATAATGACAATAATGCCACTAGCAGATGGCTACATGTTGCTGTGTGATAAAAGCATACTGTATTCATATGTTACATTGCAGAGGGACATGATTCTGGCAACTTCTACTTCTGTTTCCGCTGGATACTGATTGTCTTCAAGAGAGAATTCCATTTCCATGAAATACAGAGGTTGTGGGAGGTAAGGAGTATGCAGATTTCTCAGATCCTTTTATGTGTAGTGGGAATATGGAATCTTTGTCAGAGATGACTCCGATATATCTTGTGAACATGACTGACTCAAGACATGACATTTGTAGAAGATACACATGTAATTGTTCACTATGCATGGCCATGACTGACCTCAACATGATTCAGATTCAGATACGAGGGAGCTCCAGTCATTCAGGACTTACTTAACCTATATTCTGTAGGCAAATGAACACATGTTACAACTCTTCCTGTGTATGAATGAAACAGTCAGAATGTTTGTGGTTGTGCAGGTCGTGTGGACAGATAGGCCATGCAAGAACTTCCACCTGCTCATGAGTCTTGCCATCTTGGACACAGAGAAAACAACACTGGTGGAGAACCGCTTTGGATTCACCGAGATTCTCAAGGTGAGTTGGTGCCATGTTTTCATTAACATGTCATCTTGCACTGTTTCTATGGACTCAGAGTTAGGTTTTGTCCACTGACCTGCTTTAGACAATGACTTCTTGTTTTCATCTTCCAGGTGGTTAACATATCAGTTAGGTAGCAAATTAATGACCTGTGATACATTTCAGCATATCAATGACATCAGCTTGTCAATTGCCCTGGATGACACGTTACGGAAGGCGGAAGGTATCTTCCTGCAACTGAAAGCCTACAAGAAGCTGCCACAGACTGTCAAAGAAATTCTGGGTCTGGCAACGTCTCCTGGGCACTCGACCTCCTCCTCATCACGTAGCACACCAGCCAGCACCCCTATCAATTACGAGAGCAGTCCTCGTCTGGAGTTGCGTGGACTCAATGTTACAAATGGTACGAGTAACTGCAGTTCGTCAGTCACAACGCCTGATGATAGCAGCATTGAAATCCTGGCTGAGACAGCTGATGCAGGGGTGACAAACTACTACCACTAGACACTGTGATAGATGCCACGATGCCGGAAGCAGGCTTATGTACATATGGTTAGCTGGTCACGTCCCCAATGCCCATTCAGTACTTCAATCAAGGGTCATAAATATACTTCTCTCAAACAATATATTCAAACCAGAAACACTTGTTGTGAAATTATGTTGAAAATCTAATTTCTTATGCATGTCTTAACTAGGTATTTCATGTTTGATTGGACACGTGTTTAGCTATTACAAATATGCCATCTTAAAATGCTGTTTGTATGTAACATATGCTGTGGGAAGACGAGATGAGCAACACATAGTGATCGTGTAACCTTGACCAGTCTGAAGCCATGATATGCCTTGATGCTCTTCCTAGTCCTGCATGTATGGGTTGTGTCAGACATAGAGAGAGAGAGAGAGAGATGTGTGTTTGTAATTTGCTGTAATGGAGTGTTTTGGAGCCTTATTTATTGTTACCTTGAGTACAAGAAGTGTCATCCTGTTAACTTGGATTCAGGGCCCTGTTCCACAAAGTAATATTAGCGCTTATTTTAGCAATGATCGTAAGTGTGTGTTAAAGTATTGATTATCATCTTAGTGGTGCTAAGATTGCTTTGTTGAACTAAGCCTTGATTATATCCTGATGTTACCTAGGATACAGACAATACAAAGGATAGTGTTGTCTTGCATAACAAAAGTACACCTTGTTACCTTGGATACATAGTAATACATCTTGTTACCTTGGATACATAGAAATACATCTAGTTACGTTGGATATAAAAAAATACTTCTTTATACCTTGGATGTAAGAATATCTTGTTGTTATCAGTGGTTCAAGGAATTTCAGCTTGTCATCTACACTTTGTAGTGTATCATTTGGTGGTTGTAAATAGACTTTTTCCATTATGTTGAGATGATCATTTACATTGTTATATTTGTCAAGAAATACATGTAGGTGCAGTAGGTGTTGATTTTGAATGTTTTCATATGTTTCAAAATATGCTCTATTATTTTTCTTTAACCAGATGTACATTTGTATTCCATGATTTTCACAATCCTTGTACATGATTAAATTTGTTGACCTTTGTATATTTTGGATTAGGCTTGAAAAAAGTGTGATCTGAAGAACTGGTACAGTAAGTACAGCTACTTTCTTCCTGTTGACAATGCATATAGATCTGTTGCTGGCCTAGATTCTCCACACCACAACTGCTGTGTGCTGTGTCAGTGGCCAACACAACCTGGCTCCATGTCACAATAGTTCAGGGTGAAGTGTGGTCACATGCAACTAGTCTTTATTATTGTAGCCTTTGGTTATGTGCTTTGACCATGCACACCAGTTGTCAGCAAGAACTGTCAGCTGTTTGCAGGCCATGTCCCTTTTAAAACAGTATTTAATCAAAATGTAAGATTAAGTCATCCCTGTTTATAGTGAATGTCTGATCTCTTAGCTTGTGGTCGAAAATATTTTATGCAAAAGAAACATGATGATGTATGGGTTGGTGAATGCTGGATGTGAGAGTTAGAGAGTGTGCTTGTAAACACTTCGGAATGTAGATTTGCTTCAGACATGTTAAAGGGGAAGTGTACACGAATAAATCACATTTATTTTTATGTGAATCAAAGTGAACTGTTTTAATTAGTTAATACCTATGTTTGAAAATATACACTCATTTTTCTTACAATGTAAGTATAACCCTAAAAATAAGTGCTGAAATGCTATGCCAATATGAGGCCTTTGTTTGCCGAGCTAAACAGGCCAGAGTTACCGCCCTTTGATTATGACGTAATTGGTGCCACTTGATTTTAAACTGGTCTCCTGTCTAGTCCCAAATCAAAAGATAATAATACCGAAATTAATCACGTGAAAAGAAGTTTGTGAAAATACGAAAGAAGCACAAGAACAGAAAATGTAAGCAGCAGGACAGGTTGATTGTGTGTATTTTCATTCATAACCTCACCTCAATGAAAATACCAAATATGTATAACAATGTTGACTTCCGTATGACATCACTATCGGGAAGCGACTTTTTCAAAATGGCGTTTTCGCTGACACGAGTATGCTGGAGCTTTCGAAGGAAATTTTCGTTCTTTCAAGCAACGTATATGCATAAATGTGACAATTCTGTCAGTCTCATTGTGTTTTCATTGTGACCAAGGGAGATAGTCAGAAATTAAGAGAAGTACCGTCATCGTTGTGCGTGAGTTTGCGTCAGTCATGGTGTCATGCTTTCAGAAACTATAATATGTTGTGATGAATCTAGAAAATCATTGGAATACACCTATTTTATTTAACTATCGCTTGCTAAGATACCTTCCCATGCATGTTCTAAAACTAATGAGCAAGTGTATGCAACAAGTAGGCGAACGGATACACAGTGTAAAATCTGGGATTGGCTTTGTTTACATTTCAAACCAGTGGTCCTTTGATATAGATTATATTAGATTTCACTGAAACACTTCGTATTGGTGACAAGAGTCCATTTGTCAGTTTATTTTGAACTGTATGAGGAATTCAGCTGATTTATGTAAGGCAGATGGTGTTGAATTATACAATTGATTTTATGGACGAAACATAACCGACATACATGTGACGTGATTTTATAAACACTCTCTAATATGGCTGAAAATTCACTTTGACGTTAATTGTGTTTGCGTATTTTCCAAAACATTCTCAGCGATTCTCGGTTCATCGACAATGTTTCAGAACGATCATTGGTGATTCGATCATACAACAACAAAACTACCGTTGATCACAATGATACGTCTTTTTCTTTTAAATTCAATTCCCCAGTACAATTTGACATTTGAATTAAGACATACTATAAATTACGCAAAACGTAGTGAATGGTGATTTAGTAATGTGTCAAAACTGGCGAGATTTACGATGCATGTAATTTTCAGTATATTTGATCTACAATGAGCGGATGATATCATAGAAAAACGAATTTCAAACAGAGTTCAAAACTGCAAATTGCATGTATCTGCGTGATGTATTTGGATATCAAAGTGAAGGTGGAAGAGGAGGGACATATCGTACGATTTATGTGGGAATTTTAGTAACAAACGTAGAATGCCGACACATTCACCGATGGCAAGCTGGATATGCATAGATCTATACGTTTTCGTTTTTGTGAAAAAAGATACTGTCGGAAAGGCGACCGACTCAGGTTGAATATGTTACACAAATTGGTTACGTGGAAACACTTTTAGTACAATATATGCGTTTTTTCAAACTGCAACGTCATCACAGTGTGGAACTGACCACATAGCCAGCTGACGGTCAGGCAACAGGTGGATTAAAACAGTAGCCTGCACATTGAGACACAAGAACCACACCTATAACTGCACCACGTGAAATGGGTCTAATAAGGTCTAGCGACATCATTCGTTTATTGTTTGGGCACCAATGACGTCATTTCCAAGGGACATAAGCCATGGTGTGTTTATTGTGGACATATAACTCTCGGTAAATGTTGAAAATATGAATTGATATAACGCAAAAAATAAATTAGTTACTTCTGATATATGTACGGGTTTGGATATAAAACTACTTGATAAACACTTTTTATGATGAAAAAGTGCAAGACAAAAAAGTTAATTTTCGTGTGCACTTGCCCTTTAACAGAGTGTTGATTCAGGTGCAATACATTATTGATGCTTATTTAACCTGTTGTTGATGAGACTGCCTTCATGACAACAACATGCTTGTTTATAAGGAAGGATTTCTAGGTTGTCAAATGAACGTAACAGATTTCTACTCACCAATTGTCTTTAGCAAAAGCATCTGTGGTCACATTCCCTATGTTGATCAAAGATGCTGATTATAATACAACAATATTTTGTCTGGTCCATGAAATTGGTCATTGACCATATATGATATGACAGTGAAATGTTTTGTTCCTTCAGTTAGTGAAGTATTGTGCTCCATGCCATTTTGAAACAATAATTTTGTGCCTGTGTGTAGCCTGTTTGGCAGTGTTTGTATCATGGAACATGATGATAATGTACGTCAGTTATTAGAGTACAGCTGTATGATCTGGAGAATCTTGAACCATGTGATGGGACGAGCTCAGTATTCAGTATGCTGTTAAACCTCATTCAAATCCGATGTTTTCCTCTGGTTACTCTCTGCATCAAGATTTGTGGGTTCTTGAGACAATCAGGAGGTGTCATTATATCTTCATGCAGAGGGATATTGTATCAGAGTAGACGACCTGTGTAATGAAACTGGCATGCAAACCATAATCCATATCTCAATACACATATTTTCTCAGGAGCTATGAATTTGAATATAGTTGGACCATCATTGCTTGAAATATATTCAGACAAACTTTATGGATAAACAACTTCCTTATTTGGTTTATGTGATGTTTCGATACAAATTCTTGTATCGTTGTCAAGCAGGTATGATACTAAAGAAGTTGTTTATAAAGTTTGTCTGTATGTTACTCTCCAACTTCTAAACAATGCCACTCAAAGAAGGTGCTTGACAGAGTTGACTTAAAATTATAATACTGAAACAAATATTTCTTTAGATACTTGATATACTAAATATTGTTGGGGTAAGATATCCCAGATAGTAGCATTTGCTTTGTCATATCATGTTAGCAAGGGCACAACATAATAATCAGATATGTTGTGCCCCTTATCTGAGAGGCAGGAAGTACTTGTGATTGATTTGTACATGTTATGATTAAAAGACATACAGACATCACTGATGTTTTTAACTTAAAGCAGATTTCTTTTAAGCTACCTTATCATTTATTTACAGCAGAAGTTGCTAAAGTGGACCACGTGTTGAAATGTTTGCACTATCACTTAGTAAGGAAATATGATATGAGGCTACATCATTGTGGAAGTGGTCAAGTAACAGTTGGTAGCATTGTGAAACCATGGCAAAGATGGCAAATGCTGTAGTGTAATGTCCATTACTCTGGTGATGTGTCTCCATATCTGTGGAATACAGGATTGTAGGTTGTATTTACAATTACTTGTCACCTTCTTACATTTTCTGTGACCCCAAATTTGGCACATAGCCTCGACGTTACCCTCAACTGTGAAGCATTGGAATGTGGACAAGCATGCTCTAGTGCCCCGTGGTTACAGCTGGAAACACATTCCTTGGGTGGTGAGACACTAAGCCACAGTGTCCAACATGCTTTTAATAGTGTGTTGGTCCAATTACATCAACATCTTTTTCATATTGACAAAAACACAAATATATATTTGGAAATGTATGTCTTAAATATATGCATTTCAAGTATGTTTTCGAAATAAATAATGTGTTGTTCAGTATATGAGCATCAACATAACACATTACTACCTAGAAAGCTCCCATCATGATGTTAACAGGAGGAGGATTCGTTTGGGATCAGGTAGAAAATATATTGTTTCAAGTAATAGTTTTGTTACTGCAGGTTTCAGCTAATCATATTTTTTCTGAACTTCATATCAGACCTTTAGTGCAGTAGGCTAATCTTTATTTGACCAAATTGTGTTGCCATAGGTTCAAATTTATTGTTCCAGGTCACCTGAGCCAAAATGAAATGCTTGTAGGAAATTAATGGATAATGTGTCATTGTTTGTGTTTTCACATTCATTCAACACTGGTTATAGGTAATATCTGTCTCTGCAAGGAGACTAATGTACGCGTAAAGAATGTTGAACAAGATTTGTTTGAAATCTGTTGAGATATTCTCTGCACATGATTCTTTGAAAATCCAACGAAATCTTGTATTACTCAATATTGAATCTTGTCCAATCAAATTGCTTCCTTTCATTCTTATAAATGTCCCTTGTCTCCAGCAAATTCTCCACATGGGTACAATGTGTGATGCCCATTTCTTGTGTCCCCCGCCGTGATGTTGCTGGAATATTGCTAAAAGTGGCGTAAAACCATATTCATTCATTCATTCCAGCAAATGCTAAGCCAGTGTGACCTGTTATACCGTTCCCCTAAATTTAATGTAGTATGTGTTCTCACCCGTTTCCATTTATACAACAGTAATTACAACACATTATTACAGATTATAACATGTCTCTGACCATTTTCTATTCCTCTCTTTACCAAACGTATTCTCACGAAGACAATTATTTATCCTTATTTGTCTTAGTTTGTGTTCAGTCTTGGATGAAATAGCAGGTTCTGAAACATAGGCATTAGTTTCGACCAATGACTGATTTTACTATGCCAATATTTGCTTAGTTAATGTCTATCATTACCTAGTAGAAAGATTTGCATGATGGTAATTAGGTTTTGCTGGACAGTATTTACTAATCCACAAACTTGATGACATTTAGTTTTCATGAAGAGATATACTTTGCATAATAATACTTTTGATACATTAATATTGAATCTCTTTTCATAACTTAAAGTGTTCCACTATTCATTGAAACAAGGATGGGATATTTGGGTATGTGGTGAGGTAGGGAGTGGTAATGAAAGCTGGTTACAATATGTACACATTGCAAACTGAATGGAATATTTGACAGTGTCGATAACTTCAAGTGGGGATGCTGCAGCCTGGTTTGAGGGTAGGTGAGTATGTCAGTCATGGAATACTTGTGACCATGTGAAGTGCAACTGTCATTTCCATTTTGACCAATGGTAGGCTTATGTTGAGTATTTATAGAAACAAACAACAGCAGTTTACATT